TACGGTTTTTATTAATAGGTATTATATCAGTAACTGTATACTGAAACTGGACGGTAGAGAAAAATTGTATTACGTTCATAAGCTGCTAAAATGTCTTACATGAATAAATAATTTTTGATTTTGTTGGTACGTGAAAAAAAGTCAAAGTACGAACAATAAATCGATAGCAAAACTCAGTACTGTAAAAACTTTATAACTAAAATATATTCGCGGGATAGTATTTAAATATTTTAAAACTATTCGCTTCAAAGCTACATATAGGATAGCTGAAATGTCGCTAAGTGAAATCCAGGAATCGATAACATTTTAAAGGTGCCTTCAAAGGCATTCCAGCGATGAGAATTTCACGGAATTTTACTACGGAAACTACCGGCGGAGTGACATTATGTATTTTAAGCTCTGTATCTGATATGGAAATAAAATTATATAATCTTAATTATATTATAAACGCGGGAGTTTGTAAGTATGGATGTTTATTACATCTTTCATGCAGAAACTACTTAACGGATTTTGATGAAACATTACAGTAATATAGCTTATACATCAGAATATCATATAGGCTATATTATTATAAATTTAATACGGGTGAAACCGCGGTCACAGCTAGTATAATCATATTATTACAACTATGATTACAATTTTTTAGGCTAACGGTAGTTTTTAATACATTAACTTGTTCATCAATACTTCGAAGTATTTTTCATCCTTACTTCCTTACTAATATTATAAATGCGAAAGTAACTCTGTCTGTCTGTCTCGCTTTCACGCCAAAACTGCTGAACCGATTTAAATGAAATTTGGTACACAGATAGTCTAGACCCTGAGAAAGGACATAGGCTACTTTTTAATGCGAAATAAAGGTTGTAAGGGGTTGAAATTAGGGATGAAAGATTGTATGGAAGAATCGTCATTTTTGAAGCTTGAAACTTATTTTTGAGGCTGCTAATTAAATATAAATATTAATAAATAATTAAAAACTTTATATGTCATATTGACATATAAAGTTTTTAAAAATGTTAAGGGGATTAAATAAATTAGGGGATAATTTTTTTATGTAAATTCGTTATTATTGAAGCTAGAAGATTGAAACTTATTTTCGAGGCTGTTGATTAAATATAAATAAATAGGCTATTTTTGAATGCGATAGAAGGGTTATAAGGGGTTGAAAGAGTTATGTATGGAAGTGTCGTCATTTTTGAAGATGAAACGATGAAACTTTTTCAATTAGCTTTTATTGGGTTCGGTCGTTACATATTTTTTCATTATTTGGTCAAGGTCACTATTTTCGCGGACGAAGTCGCGGGTACAGCTAGTGCCTATCTATTTATTGTGTCTAGGAATACTGGAACAATATAAACATATGACATGTCGTTCTGACTTTACTTAAGTAGGTTTTGTACTAAGCTAAATAAAAGTTACTAAAGATTTTTGTCTATCCCACGGGAAAATAATTTCCCGTGATTAACAGTATCTAAGATGTTGACTCCCGGTCAAGAAATTTAAGCTACTTCCATGCAAATTCCTTTATATCGGTCCAACAGTTTCGGAGATTAGCCTATACAGACAGACAAAGAAACAATAAATTTAAAAAATCTAAATGTCTTCTATTTCACTTCTAACATCCCTCTAACTCGGTTTTTGGCGTTTTTTTCCTATGTACAGACATTCGACCTCTACAGTTATATTACATGTATAGAAATATTTTTACACATGAATGTATCTATAATTAACATATATGTATAAGTAATTATCTAATGTTAATATTGTATCTTCTAATGATCTGTGTGAAATTTATTGTGAAATTAATACAGAAATAATAAAAAATAGATTTTTACAATTATTTTTAATTAAATTTCACCCACATTAAAGTTACGGTACCATGTAAAAACAGGATGTTTTAAAAATAACACCGTATACATTTGATTAAAATCATTGATGCAAAGTTTACAATCTGAAGGCGAATGAATCAGAGAACATTCTTGAGGAAAACGCCAAAAAGAGAAGAGTAAAATGGCGTCTATTAAATCTACAGTGAAGATCATTTTACATCTGCTTCTTTATATAGTAAGTAATTTCAAACATTACTAAATAATATTTTACATCCCTTGTATAATACATTATACCCTCCTATATAATATTTTAAGTGAATGTGTTATTCAATTTTTTATTAGTATACACATCATTTTAATTCCTTTAGGTTGGTATTCCTTTGGTTATTTTTAGTTAGATCATTTTGCTACTTACGGTCTTGCGTCATATCATAATAAAATTTGTCATTTGGTCACTAGTAACACAAAAAATGTCGCAAACAGAAGCTCGTGCTTTATAAAATCCTAATAAAATTTATTTCAAACTTCAAAAACTTAAAAACATCACTTCCAGGGATTGAATGTAGCAAATGGAGAATCCATCCTTCAATCACATCTGTCAAAGATGAAATCTGGCACCAATTACCCAATCATCTTGGTTCTAGATGATTTAAAAGGACTGCATCTAAATACACACGATCATAAAGAGCTACCATCAAGTTTAGAAGAACGCATAGAAGTAGCGCCACTCTCAAATTTGTATCAGGTAAATTCATTCAAATTAAACTTATATAATGTATCAAAATCATAATCAAGTTCTTTAGTCATAAAGCTGCCTTTCAATTGTTCACAAGATGACAAATATTATAAGACATCAATACAAACAAAATTAGAAAACTAAAAAGATTGCTGATTAGAAATGGAACTATCAAAATCATTAGTTCCCTTTTTTCTAATATGTCGTATTCAACTTGTGTTTATAACACATTCCCCAAAATCATTTCGAATCATGATCTCTTGTGACATATATACATCTACTGAAAATATTACGATTAAGCTAAAAGAAAATTTAAAGAATTATGATATTTATAATAATTTACTATATTATGTAATGATTAGTTACATGGGTATCTCTGATACTGGTTACATGGGTATAATCACAAAGTAATAAAATTGACATAATTATTAGCATAAATGATTTTCAATAAAATTCTTATTTTATAATACATTTTAGTTACCAAAAGCATTTGCTGATAGAAATTCTGTCAATCGTCGACCGAAAACTAAACACAACTGGCATAAACGACAAAAAGCACATAACAGAGGCCTGCAACACAGACATGATAATGATAGAAAAGACAGATATTTAGAATATGATGACATAGTATATTCGGATAAACAAGATTCATACCAACCAGATAGATATAGATACAACAAAAAACGAATGCAACAATCTAGGCTCCGTACCCACCAAGAAGATGAGAGTAATGGTGATGATAATGTTAGAAAAATCAGAGAAAGGCAAAGAATTCGTGATGCAAAACCTCCTCTCGTGAAAACTTTACTGAGAATTTCCAATAGTTTGAGATGTAGTGCTAGAGATGATTGTCAAGATAATTGCAGTGATAAATTCATAGGTAAGGAAAAGAACGACTGCGAAGATAAATGTGATGTCAAATTTGAATGTGAGGAAGAAGAAGAAGAAGACGATCCATGTGAGAGAGGCGAATGTGATCAGAGCAACGAGTGTGATACACCAAACTGTACTGGTAGTACTGTGGGTGAAAAATTAATCACTGAAAAGCCGAAATGTAAAAGATGTTAAATCAATACATTTTTGAAAGATATTTATTTTATTTATTTATTGCATTATCATAAAAATATAAAGCACATAAACGCAGCTAGTGATTAAGTTGTAACAATTATATTGTGACACCCTGTAAGGGAATGGCTCATGGTCACAATCTCACACTATTGTACTTTTTAGGTTAAAACTTAACAAATATAATATATTAATTACTAGCTGTATTGTAAAATAAAATAATGTTTCTAAAATAAAAGTAGCCTAAGTTACTACTTATTACATTAGCTGCCTGCCAAAAAAGTCCCGTCAAAATAGTCCCAGCCATTTCAGAGATTAGCCGGAACAAACAGACAGACAGACAATAATTTTAAAAAGTGGTTTTTTGGTATATGTACCATATTTATGTTCATATGCATGTAATAAAAAACGGTTATTTCAATATTACAAACACTCCAAGTTTATTTATATGTATAGATTTAAGTAGCAAACTACTGTCTCGATACTTAGTGAAATGCAAAGTACGAGTAGAACACTTACATCTGATGATGATAATATGTCCGCGTAACTTTACCAATGTATACATAGACGATATTTATAAAAAAAAAGTATATTTATAATAAAAATGTATTTATTTCAGTTGTCTGATACCTATAATATTAGCTGTGCCAATTGTCCACAGTTATTACTACTAAACAGCAAAGACAAAGTTACAGAAAGTTATATAAATCTAATTAGTAATAAGGTACCGTAGGTATTACTCAAAAATAAGTTTCAAATTTCAAGCTTCAAAAACTACGAGTTTATACAAAAACTTTCATCCCATATTTTATTTTACCCCCTTAAGGGTATTTTTTTTGCAAACATTAAATGTCATATTTATCAAAAATAAATTTCAAGAGTCTAGCTTCAAAAATGATGATTCTGCCATACAATCTTTTATCCCCCCTTTCAAGTCCTTGCTACTCTTTTTTCGGATTATAAAGTAGCCATGTCCTTTCTAGGGGTCTAAACTATATGTGTACCAAATTTCATTGTATCGACACCGATACAGTCACCGACACCGACTTCGACACCGACACCGACACCGACACCGACACCGACACCGACACCGACACCGACACCGACACCGACACCGACACCGACATCGACACCGACTTCGACACCGACTTCGATACCGACACCGACACAGATATCGACTCCTACACATATACAGACATGGACACCGACATCAACACCGACACTGACACTGACACCGACAGCGACTTCGACACCGACACCGACACCGACTCCTACACAAATACAGACAGGGACACCGACACTGGCACTAACACCGACACTGATACCGACACCGACCTCGATACAGACTTCGACTCCTACCATATACAGATATGGACACCGACACTGACACTAACACTGACACCGACACAGACCCCGATATCGACCCCTACACATATATAGACACCGACACCGACTTTGACACTGACTTCGACACCGACCCCTACACATATACAGACATGGACACCGACATCGACTCCTACCATATACAGACATTGACACCGACACTGACACTGACACAGACACCAACTCCAACTTCGACACCGACTTCAACACCGACATCGACACGAACTTCGATACCGACTTCGACACCGACTTCGACACCGACACTGACATTGACACCGATACTGACACCGACACCGACTTCGACACTGACTTCGTCACCGACATCGACACCGACTTCGACAGACACTGACACATGCTTCGATACTGACACCGACACCGACATCGACACCGATTTCGTCACCGACATCGACACCGACTTCGACACTGACACTGACACCGACACATACTTCGACACCAACTTCGATACCGACTTCTACACCGACTTCGATACCGACTTCGACACCGACACGGACCCCGACACTGACACCGACGCCGATTTCGGCACGGACTTCGTCACCGACACCGATACCGACACCGACACCGACATCGACTCTTACACATTTACAGAAATGGACACCGACACTGATACCGACACCGACACCAACACCAACTTCGACACCGACTTCGACACCGACAGCGACACTGACATTGACACCGATACTGACACCGACACCGACTTCGACACTCACTTCGTCACCGACATCGACACCGACTTCGACACTGACACTGACACCGACACATACTTCGACACCGACATCGACTTCGACACCGACACCGACTTCGCACCAACTTCGATACCGACTTCGACACCGACTTCGATACCGACACTGACACCGGCACAGACATCGACGCCTAACATATACAGACATGGACACCGACACTGACACCGATTTCGACACTGACTTCGTCACCGACATCGACACCGACTTCGACACCTACACATATTCAGACATGGACACCGACACCGACTTCGACACCGACACATATTCAGACATGGACACCGACACCGACTTCGACACCGACACCGACTTCGACACCGACACGACACCAACTTCGATACCGACTTCGACACCGACATCGACACCGACACCGACACCGACACGACACCGACATCAACACCGACACCGACTTCGACACCGACACATATTCAGACATGGACACCGACACCGACTTCGACACCGACACCGACACCGACACCGACACCGACATCGACTCTTACACATTTACAGAAATGGACACCGACACTGATACCGACACCGACACCAACACCAACTTCGACACCAACTTCGATACCGACTTCGACACCGACACCGACATCGACACCGACACCGACACAGATATCGACTCCTACACATATACAGACTTCGACACCGACTTCGACACCGACACCGATACTGACACCGACACCGATTTCGACACGGACTTCGTCACCGACATCGATACCGACACCGACACCGACATCGACTCTTACACATTTACAGAAATGGACACCGACACTGATACCGACACCGACACCAACACCAGCTTTGACACCGACTTCGACACCGACACCGACATCAACACCGACACCGACTTCGACACCAACTTCGATACCGACTTCGACACCGACATCGACACCGACACCGACACAGATATCGACTCCTACACATACACAGACTTCGACACCGACTTCGACACCGACACCGACACTGACATTGACACCGATACTGACACCGACACCGACTTCGACACTGACTTCGTCACCGACACTGACACCGGCACAGACATCGACGCCTACACATATTCAGACATGGACACCGACACCGACTTCGACACCGACACCGACACCGACACCGACACCGACACCGACTTCGACGCCGACACCGACACCGACTTCGCACCACCTTCGATACCGACTTCGACACCGACTTCGATACCGACACTGACACCGGCACAGACATCGACGCCTAACATATACAGACATGGCCACCGACACTGACACCCATTTCGACACTGACTTCGTCACCGACATCGACACCGACTTCGACACCTACACATATTCAGACATGGACACCGACACCGACATCGACACCGACATCGATTTCGTCACCGACATCGACTCCGACTTCGACACCGACTTCGACACCTACTTCGACACCGACTTCGACACCGACTTCGACTTCTACACATATACGGACATGGACACCGACACCGACACTGACACGGACTTCGACACTGACACCGACTTCGACACCGACTTCGATACCGACTTCTACACCGACACCGATATCGACTCCTACACATATACAGACATGGATACGAACCTGACACTGACACCGACACCAACACCATCTTCGACACCAACTTCGATACCGACTTCTACACCGACTTCGACACCGACACGGACCCCGACACTGACACCGACACCGATTTCGACACGGACTTCGTCACCGACATCGATACCGACACCGACACCGACATCGATACCGACACCGACACCGACATCGACTCTTACACATTTACAGAAATGGACACCGACACTGGTACCGTCACCGACACCAACACCAGCTTTGACACCGACTTCGACACCGACACCGACACCAACACCAACACCAACTTCGACACCGACACCGACACTGACATTGACACCGATACTGACACCGACACCGACTTCGACACTGACTTCGTTACCGACATCGACACCGACTTCGACACCGACACCGACTCTGACATTGACACCGATACTGACACCGACACCGACTTCGACACTGACTTCGTCACCGACCTCGACACCGACTTCGACACTGACACTGACACCGAAACATACTTCGACACTGACAGCGATACTGACACCGACACCGACTTCGACATCGACTTCGACACCGACTTCGACACCGACACCAACACTGACATTGACACCGATACTGACACCGACACCGACTTCGACACCGACACCGACACTGACATTGACACCGATACTGACACCGACACCGACTTCGACCGACTTCGTCACCGACATCGACACCGACTTCGACACTGACACTGACACTGACACATACTTCGATACTGACACCGACACCGACTTCGACACTGACTTCGTCACCGACGTCGACACCGACTTCGTCACCGACACCGACATCGACTTCGACACCGACACCGATATCGACTCCTACACATATACAGACTTCGACACTGACTTCGTCACCGACCTCGACACCGACTTCGACACTGACACTGACACCGAAACATACTTTGACACTGACAGCGATACTGACACCGACTCCGACTTCGACATCGACTTCGTCACCGACATCGACACCGACTTCGACACCGACATCGATTTCGACACCGACACCGACTTCGCACCGATTTCGACACTGACTTCGTCACCGACATCGACACCGACTTCGTCACCGACACCGACATCGACTTCGACACCGACACCGACTTCGCACCAACTTCGATACCGACTTCGACACCGACTTCGATACCGACACTGACACCGGCACAGACATCGACGCCTAACATATACAGACATGGCCACCGACACTGACACCCATTTCGACACTGACTTCGTCACCGACATCGACACCGACACCGACATCGATACCGACTTCGACACCGACTTCGATACCGACACCGACACCGGCACAGACATCGACGCCTAACATATACAGACATGGCCACCGACACTGACACCCATTTCGACACTGACTTCGTCACCGACATCGACACCGACTTCGACACCTACACATATTCAGACGTGGACAGTGGACACCGACACCGACTTCGACACCGACACCGACTTCAACACCGACACCGACACCGACTTCGCACCACCTTCGATACCGACTTCGATACCGACTTCTACACCGACTTCGACACCTACTTCGACACCGACTTCGACACCGACTTCGACTTCTACACATATACGGACATGGACACCGACACTGACACTGACACCGACACCAACACCAACTTCGACACCGACTTCGACACCGACTTCGACACCGACACCGACACCGACACCGACACCGAACTACCCCATTACTAACAATGTACCATGTCAGATTGATCTCCACGCGGTTCCTACTGGTAACCATCGCGATAACTTCCTGATGAATTTGTCACGACTTGCTAACTGACCTGACCTCATCTTATCATACTCCACTGGTGCCCTAACAGCGTAAACAGTTAGCGCAGGCGGGCTTAGACAAAGCAAGCTGCATTACTGTTGAAGCAACCGGTACTGACAGAGCCAACATTTTCGGTCTACTTCAAAATGCAATCAAAATAATAGTAGTATTCATATAAACTCTCCGCTACAAATATCTGCACGGCAACGCATCTAATTAATAAATGGTTTGCATACCGTTCGTTATGATGCATACGAGTACTTCATATCGGTATGGGATTTACACATACATATTTTGCATTTTGTTACCGCATAGTACACGAATAAAGCTGTATATTCGTATGTAATTTAGTACTGAAAAGAGTAACTATAGAATATTTTATTTTTATTATAAATTTACTTTTTGTTTAAACGAATGAACAATTTTTATGCGCATACTAGAATTTAACTTTTCATTATTGCAATAAATAAAATTTCGTATTTTTATTCGTAAAATTAAGTATGTCCAAATATAAGTCTCAAAATCGGTTTTCAATTAAAAACAGCTACAAGAAGAAGGATAATGTTTTCGTATATGTTGTTGAGTGTTTAACATTGTTGTTGAAGATGTTTGCACTTATTAACTCGTATATTTAAGAGCGTGTGAAGTGCATGTACCCACACACAATTACCATTCTAACGCCTGCTCACTTTATCCCAGCAAATATCATCCGGCAAGAGCCATCAGGCGCTAGGGTAACTGCCATATGTTGGCCCCTGCACATAATTTTCTAATCAAGTACATATACATTACAGCTAATAAGAGAATATACAACATTATATAAATTATGACAAGTACTACAAACAATGCCCTACACTGTAGGAACAGGCCAACCAATCCAGGGCACTCGCGGCCACCCGTCCGCTCGCTATTTTATAAATATGTATGTATGTTGTACTGTACCAATAGTATAGTATATTCCTAGTATATAGTAGTAGTAGTAGTATGTTCCTTGCAATTAGTTAAGAGACACGCGATTTGGTCGGCACAAAGTTTTCTGTAAAAAATAAAGCAGTTTTCCATAAGAGGGTCTTGCACTCACAGCATAGAAAAACTGAGATCCTCAGAGATCCATATCTGGCACCCATAAAATGCTTTACTTATTTTTAAAGATTTATTATCATCCACAGAGGCCGTCTTCAATTGTACAAAGGGATGAAAATGAGGGCGCCACTAGAGTTACATATTGATAAAAAGTTTAGATAGGTCGTTAGAGAAAAAGTATTGCCTTGTATGTCAATGACTTAGACTAGACTTTGAAGTCTGTCAATTATACGCAACGAAGAATTAATGTTTATTTCTCCTGATAATAACAATCGTCAAATAATTTATAAATTCAATATTTTATATACTAATAATTATTAATATATATATTTCAGAATATGAATAAGTAATAGTGGAAGATTACAAGTAAAACCTATTTATTGTATCATTTATATAATCTTACTATAATAATATTATGAACGCAAAAGTTTATAAGTATAAATGATTTGTTACTCTTATGCAAAAACTACTACACGGATTTTGATTAAACTTTACAGCAATATAGCTTATAAATCAGAATAACACACGGCCTATAAATTTCATTGGAATCGCGCGCACAGGTAGTATCGCGTTAATATTCTAATGAAAGTTACTAAGATATATAAAGCTCGTGTTCGCAATATCTGTGCCAGGAATGGTAAATAATTACAATTACAATGATTCCTCTTTGTCTTTGTATTTAATGTTAGCAGATATATTGTTGTATATAAAAAAACTAATATTCTTTAGTCTTTTCAAGTGTATAAAGTACTGTATAGAGAAGACCTATTTTTACTATAATAATAATAATAACCTCCAGACAATTTATACAGTATCATCTAATCGTAAGTTAAGGAGAGCTTATGTTGTGTGTACTAAACTGATATAAGTATTTAAATATATTTTACAAAGAAACATATTCATGAATACAAGCGTTTGTACTGTGCGAAGAATCGAACCCGCGATCATTTGAAGTAAATATTACGTATACAAAATGTTTTATCGTTATTTTAGATACGTTTACAGCTTCAGTGGTTTAGCACACCGTCTCACTTCCTATGGTTAAGGTTCGAATCCTCGCACAATACAAACATTTGTGTTCATATGTATTGATTGTTTTTTTTTTCCTGTGTCGAAAAATGTAATTAAGTATTTCAATCAGTTGTTTAGTACCCATCGTACAAGTTTTTCTTGGTTGGGGACTAGATGTAAATTATTTTGGATTGTTATTAAAATTACACTTGATTAATAAAAATAATATTCTTAATTCACTTACACTTGCTTTTTCTTTCAGGATAAATTAGTAGCGAATGAAAACATTATGGATCCAGAGAAAAAAGTGAATATAGATACTACTATTATAAATGCAAACATATGTTTGTCTGTCTGTTTGATTTATACATTTTTACAGCTATACGCCTGTACTGTTGTAAGAGCTATTATTTAATGCATATATTTTAATAAATACATTTAATAACCTGTTCTATTTTCTTCATCTGTAATTTGTTAAATAAGAAAATGTCGACTGTTTCTTACCTACCTACTAAATTAAATCCATAATAGCGGATATTTTTATAAAGCATGATAATAAAATGGACTCAACAAACAAGACTTTGTCCGTTTTTTCGTTGACCTTTACAGCTTCACCGCACGATGGGGGACGAGTGCAGATGACACTCCAAACCCGCTGAAGGACTTATGGAGCAGCTGAAGATCAACTCCCGCTTGCCTGATACGAACTTTATGTCCGTGTTGCTGTTCATATAAATGCAAATTCTATTATTGGATAAGAGTCATTCCATCTTTGTTCTCTGAAATGGCAACGCATGAGTGGTAACACGGGTGTCACTCGACAATGTGATCTCCATAGTGTTGTACATGTATATGCGACAGTTATTGCTTACCATCATATAGGACATCGGCTTGCAAGCCATTCTAGTTACATAAAAAAATGCTCATATATACCTACAAAATGACCATGCAATTTAAAAAAAAATGATAATATACTTATACAGCTAACGCATTAGTATATATAATACTTAGAAATTGTAAGCAAAACATTATACGAGTCTAAAACGTACCTGTGAAATATTTATCAAAATCAGATTATATATTTTCAGGATAATGCAGAAATGAATGGAAATCCCGCTACTTTGAATTCAACACAAAATGTAAGGAATTATAGTTACCTGTAAGCATAGAATACAGTATTTATATAGTAATCTCTTTTCTTCAGTATGAGTAATAACAATGGTGTAATAATATAATAATAATAATAATTTCGAGAACATAAAATTAATAAATAATTAATAATAACACTAGATAATACACAGCATCAGTCCCATACTTCATTTTACTAGCTACCCGTCCCGGCTTCGCCCGGGTATACATGTATATATGTACATATAAATCATCCTCTTGAATCTCTCTATCTATTAAAAAAACAGCTTCAAAAACTGTCGCGTAGTTTTAAAGATTGAAGCATACATAGGGATGGACAGACATCGACAGCGACTTTGTTTTATACTATGTGATTACTCCTGACTACTGCTTTTAGCTTTCGTCTTAACTTCTACTAAATTCCCGTTCTCTCTCCGCACCTCACCTCACTTCCGTATCGCATCCTTCTCTCTATTTCACACCATCCTTCTATCTCATTCTCACCATACTCCATTACACGCATCTTTCAATACTTCATACTTTCATACATCCAACGTACATATATGTAACTTATTTACGTGTTTTATTATTCAGGACAATACAGCGGACACAAGTGCATATAATGACGACAATGTAAGTACAATGCTGCGTTTGATTATACTATAACTTTTATAGGTCTGAAAACATACAAAGTTTATACAACTCATTTGAAAACTTCACCAAAATAGGGATGATCAATATGTTTATGAAACATCGATATCCAATCTTTAATAATATCTAAATATTAACGTTGACTGACCGATAATATCGACAAAAATGGATATTCAAAATAGTATCTGAACAAAACATATAGGATAAAATGATTTTTTTGTCATTAACATAATATTTATAACGCAAAATGATATTATACCAGGGAGACCGAGAAGAAACATTGCACGATGATTCTCAATCGATAATAATAATAAGAACCCTAGATAATTTACACAGCGCTATCTAGTCTTAAGCTAAGAAGAACTTGTGTTATGGTTACCAGATAAATAGTATAAATACTAGACATAAAATATATAGAAAACACCCAGACTGACAACACACAAACAATCATACTCATGAATACAAATGTTTGCACAGTGCAATCGAAAATGAAGCGATATGCTAAATAACTGAGGACGTCAAATTTTTACATCGATGCTTATAGACCAACGTCGACATGTTGTCTGCTGAGTTTCACCCGCCAGAAGCTAAAATACCATTTCAATTCCTCTGGTGTTGCGGGTGCTTATGAGCGGTAGTAATCACTTACCACGAGGTGAGCCGCAAGCTCGATTGTAATAAAAAAACATCGATGTCAACACCTATGTTTTTCTAATATTAACATCCCTACCTCAAAAGTTTCTACGATTTCCTCGTTATAAATACGTACGTGTAACTTTTGTAATTGTTTGTTTTTAGTACGATACGTCTTCAGTGTATACATTGAAAGGAGAATTATCGCAGTATGTCAATAGAGGCAGAAGTGAATTGTCCTTGTACCACGAATATTATCCAGGAATAGAGTCTGTGCAGTACAATTATATACTAGAAAGGCAAAATCCGTATTCAACAAAGTGAGTGTTTTAATTATTAATGAGTGATTAAGTGAGAGTTAGTGAGTAAAACATATTAAATTAGATCCGAATGAGTGGTAGAACACAAGTGTGCACATTTATATACTAGAAAGACAAAATCCGTATTCAACAAAGTGAGTATTTTGACTATATTAATGAGTGATTAAGTGAGAGTTAGTGAGTAAAACATATTAAATTAGATCCGAATGAGTGGTAGAACACAAGTGTGCACATTTATATACTAGAAAGACAAAATCCGTATTCAACAAAGTGAGTATTTTGACTATATTAATGAGTGATTAAGTGAGAGTTAGTGAGTAAAAGATAATAAATTTGATCCGAATGAGTGGTAGAATAGAAATGTGTACATTTATATACAAAGACAAAATCCGTATTCAACAAAGTGAGTATTTTGACTATATTAATGAGTGATTAAGTGAGAGTTAGTGAGTAAAAGATAATAAATTTGATCCGAATGAGTGGTAGAATAGAAATGTGTACATTTATATACTAGAAATACAAAACCCGTATTCAACAAAGTAAGTGTTTTAATTATTAATGATTAAGTAAGAGTGGAGTGAGTAAAAAATAGTGAATTAAATCCGAATAATTGGTAGAATAGAAGTGCGTACAATTATGTACTAGGACAAAACCCGTATTCAACAAAGTGAGTGTGTTAAGACGACGCATCGCAAATATTAACGTTAGAAATCTCAGTTTTTCTCAACAATTACATATCCTACGGGGCTGATATTTAAGTATTTCATTTTTCACATCTTTGACATCATATACACTCTCTCGTTACATGATTGATTAACTTTTGTAGCACAGAAAAAAATCTCAAAGATTGTGTTATAAAATATAAGATTTAATTGGTGTGAGAAAACGGAAAAAAATACTTATTAATGATAATAATAATTACGTGCGAGTGAGTGTGTAAGAAATAGTGAATTAGATTCTAATAAGTGGCAGAAAAGAACGGTGTACAATTATATACTAGAAAGAGAAAATCCACAACCAACAATGTTTTATTAATTAATGAGTGATTAAATAAAAGTTATTGATTAAGAGTTAATGAATTAGATACGAATGAGTAGTCGAATATAGACATATTACTATTTAAATGTTACGTATATTTACCTATTTTAAGTAAAGATTTTTTATATTCTATTTCTATTAAAATGTATTTTTTATTGTACATAATAAAATCGGTAAATTGTGATTAGGCGAAAATTGTCTGTTTGTTTATTTCCTATCAGTATCTATCGGTGTCCGCAAAGTCGAACAGAAAGAGGTATAAACGGACACACATAGTATTTCTTTTTGACGTAGGACCATACAATAAACACTAAGCTACGATCCTCTCAGTTTACTTACAACGCTTTACCTACTTTAATGTTTCTTTTAATAACTCTGCTACAGTTTCCTGGAGTCTCTGAGTCATCTAATCAAAAGCTGCTTAGGTGCTGGTGTGCTGGGTATGCATGAAGGTTTTATGTACGCTGGCATTTGGACGTCTTTAGTGACTGTCACAGTTATTGGAGTCCTGGTCCCTTATCGTCAGCGATGATGACTCTGTTCATGATTGTGAGTATTATCTTGCGTCATTAGTCACTCGCCATATACACTTTTCTTTCAATAATTTATGCTAATCTAATCATGATAATAATGAACCCGCGATTATCGAATGTAAAGCAGTGTGCTAAACTGCTAGACTACCGAGGCCGTCCTTCTATCTTATATTAATCTTACTTTCAATATCCTAATTATTTGTCGATAGTCTGTTTCTTTAAAATTTGTATATCAATTACTACCGACCGCACACCTATATTTACAATCTTCTGAAAGATGTTCTACTCTTTAAAGTATTAAATAGTACTCTACGTAATATTATCTTATCTGTGGTAATAGGAAGTGATTAATAATTCATACAATATATTATTCAGATGTTGGTGACTTGTGCCAAAAAGATGTATGTAAAAATTCGCGTACCAAAACTTACTTATCCGGATCTAGCGGAGGCATCTGTAGCAACTGGACCCCTTAAATCCTGCAGAAGATATAGTAAAGCATTCAGGTAATTGTTAATTTTATTACTTACTAGCGAACCGCCCCGGGTTCGCACGTGTGCAATACAAACCTTTGAATTACTCAACTGTTCTGTACTCATGCACATGACCTTCCTTTTGAATCAGTTTATACATTACTGAAAACTGCATAAAAATCCGTTGCGTAATTTATAAGATCTTAGCGTACCGACAGCGGGGATACTTTGTTTAAACTATATAAACATATTATCTATGTCAAGAATGAAGTCCAAGAATACCATCCTGATCATCTAGATGAATGGCGGTCTTCCACAGTGCGGTTTTCTAGAAACTTTTTGCCACGCACAACCACATTGTGGAATCCAGCAATGGTATTTCCTAACCGATTCGATATTGAAACCTTCAAGAAAAGAGCTTATTCCTTTTTAAAAGGCCGACAACGTACTTGCAATTCCCCTGGTGTTGCAGGTGCTCATGGGCGGCGGTAATCACTTACCATGCACATGTACGTTTGTCCCCTGTGTTAAAAAAAAAAGTGATCTAAATCGAATCTTAATTTCAGTATATATCTCAAGTTATATAAAATATCATATCATCTTATGTATTCTATTCTCTAAATTATACAGCTATAAAATCGAAATCAAAAATTTAAATCCAATATCTTGTAGGTATTTAATGAAGATATTGCTAATATTAATGTTACATATTTAGTAATAAGTTTTTATGTATTGTATATTTATTTCATCATGTATTATTTTTTCTTTCTCAGATACACGGTGGATCTTTGCCTATTCTCACAACTATGCGGAACTTGTTGCATTTACGAAATCATGATTGCCGATACTCTAAAACAGGTACAGATTATTCGGAAGAGCTACTTTCTCATTTTTCTACTTTACTTTATTCTTTATCTTCAACTAGCTACCCGCTATATCTATGTATTGCTAAAACTACATTATAATCCGTGGCATAGTTTCAAATATTTAAGAGAAAGAAAGCTAAAGCAACTCATTTAAAATTAATTACTTATAATAATAAAAAAAAATTATAGTTTAAGAATTTATTTTACATATAAATTTTAGTGTTAATTTTTAATTATTTTAATAATAATTAATTATTTATTTATAGTAATTAATATTAAAAATTTAAGAAATTAAGATTTAGTAATATAAAAATTAAAAACTAAATTTGTGCCAGCAGTTGCGGTTAAACAAATTTTAAAATAAATTTTTTAGTAATAGTATATCTAGCGATAAGACCGACTTTTGTATTCCATATCTCTTTTCTGTATTTCTTATGTATTAATTCTATTGGTGCAATAAAGAGTTTATAAATAAAGAAAGCTAAAGCAACTCATTTTATACTATGTAAAGATGAATAAATCTTCTTATATCAGTTATTGAGAGTTGATGAAAGTAAATTTCTATTTGTGTACTTATTTTATTGCATTTTTTACTGTTTAACAAAATAATTGTCATATTATATGTTATCTGATTATTTTCCCAAACTATTATTTATTTCAGTAATATCATATTACAGGTATTAGAAGCTGTATGTGAAAGTGTACAGAAACAAAATTTTACATTAAGAATTTACATAATTGTATCAATGATACCTCTACTGTTATTGAGCTTAATTAGAAGTTTAAAATATCTAGCACCGTTCGCCTTCATCGCAGATTTATTTGTTGGTAAACGAAACTTTTAATAGTTAATTTGTTTTTATAGTAAGGAAAATTGTGATATAAATCAAACTTGTGACCTTTTCTCATGAAGCTTTTATTGCAACAACAATTATATTTGTAACTAGCTAACCCGCGTAACTTCGTCTGTATCACATTTACTCAATTTACATTGTCTTTTAAAATTATAGCCTATGTGTTATTCTGATGTTAAAGCTATATTACTGTAAAGTTTCATCAAAATCCGTTCAGTAGTTTTTGCGTGAAAGAGTAACAAACATCCATACTCACAAACTTTCGCGTTTATTAAGATTATGTAGGGGTGGAGCAGCCACCCTTTGATTGGTGGTTGAATATATTTATTTGTACAATTTCAGCGGTGTGTGTTATTACAACTATGTACTATAGTATAACAATATCGAATAATATAAATGATCGTCCCGCATGGAAGAATTTCCACGGTCTTTTACAATTGTGCGGGATTTGCATTTACAGTATGGACGGTATACCAATAATATTAGCCGTGGAGAATAATATGAAAACACCTCAGTATATCACCTATGTCATATTGTATGGTAAGTTAAACATATTTTTTGTCTGAAAGATTTTTTATTAATTTGATTTTAATTCGGATTACATCCATATTGTGTTAGTAAAAACTTATAAAACTATGTTAGTAACTTATAATATACATATACGTAGATATATTTAATTCATATATCTGTGTCCACGTCCAGAAGCACTGGGTCCACAATGCAACGTTATCCAGTGCCTCTGGAGCGGACAATCAGGTATATTCGCAACAGTTTTTAGGATGCTGTTTGAGCTCCCCCGAATTCTAGACATCAGTGATGCAGCTCTTTTACGCATTATGGCTTCAAATCCATCTACCCGCGCTGCTGCAAACAAAAAATTAATAGTCCGTGTGTTCGTCAGAAAGGACACTTTTTTTTGTTATTATCACTATCGTTTGCCCGCGAGTTCATCATTCGCTATTAAAGTGGACATTTAATAAATATATTCAATGTATTTACACTTTGAATTGTAATGACACCTATGTATAATATATTCTTAAGAATATGAAATTTTTACTGTACCGTTATCAGTATAATCTCAGTGTTTGATTTGAAATATAAGACGATGTAAATTTATAGTTCTACATTTAGATATATACTACTAGATAAATTTATCCTGCGGCTATCGGTGATATAGCGATTTAACACATTGCCTCATTACGGATGGTCGCGAATTTGTTAATCTTGCATATTAACAAATTCTTCATTGTTTAATGAATTTTCAATAATTTGTTTCTAGTAGCCAATGTGGGAGCGAACTCGGCTGCTGGGCACCAAAACAGAACAAAAACAGACACCTATTGGATAAGCGCGAAAGTGTCAGAAACAAACTCATTTTTATATTTATAATATTTGTTATAAATACAAAAATGAAGCACAATTATGTATGCTATAACATACATAAAATGTATAATAAAATATTTTATTTGAGTTTTCTAAATAAATAAAATATAATAATCCGCGTACATAATTTTACTAAATCTATGTATAGCTTCAAAGCCTGAATGAAATAAAAGAAGGATCTGTCTACAATCTAGACGTATTTTGTGTCAAGAGACTGTCTGGGTAGAGTTTTATTAAAATTATGTTTCTAAGCTAACATAGATGGATTATATTTTTAGGGTTCCGTTTACTATTGTTTTGTTCATACTGACCACTATAATTATGGCGGCCTCTATGGTACGGCCTATACGATTTATATATTTAGCACACCACTTTACTTTTATGGTCGCGGATTCGGTTCCTCGTAGACAATGCGAATTGCCCCTGTGACGGATTCAGTGACAAGGTACAAACATTTACATTAAAGAAAAAATATAATAAGTATTAATATCAGTTGTCTAATACCCATAAAACAAGCTCTGTAATCGAAGCCTTCCTTTTTCTCTCTGTATAATGAACTTATTCTAAATCTATAGAGACAAAGTACTTTTTAGTTTACCTAATCAAATAGTAATTTATATTATACTAGTATATAACTTAATATATATGCGATAATTTAACATCCCCTCCAGAGGAACACATTATACGCCCGGATATACATAATATATACAAACCTTCCTCTTGAATCACTCTATTAAAAAACCGCTTCAAAATCCGTTGCGTAGTTTCAAATATGTAAGCATGTATAGGAACGGATAAAAAGCGACAGCAACTTTGTTTTATACTATGTAATGATTTTCCAAATAAATTCTACTCTCTATCAACGCTTGTTGAAGAAATCAGCTCGTTCTAACCCTAAAACTATGGAACTCAAAAATGTATATCCGATATACACTTGCTTTGTTTTACTATTAAGATGTCACAATCCTGTTTTTGTTTTATTAAAAAAAGTGCCAGACATGCAATTTAAAATATTCATGTTTATTTGAAGCGTGACATAGCTTCATCGATTTTATATTTTAGTTTGAGATGTAGTATTATCCTTTCTGTGCTTTGAGAAAATAAGACGTATTTCAGTAAAGCTATTATAGACGGCCTCGGTGAAATAGCGGTTTAGCACACCGCTTTATTTCTAATGGTCGCGGATTTGATTCCACAAACGATATAAATATTTTAATTCATGGTAGGATTATTTGTTTTGGTCTGGGTGTTTTCTATATAATAATATCTCAGGACAATTTACACAGTGCCATCTAGTTCCAAGCTAAGCAGAGCATATGTTATGGGTACTAGACTACTGATATAAATACATGGATGCATTTTAAATAAATACGTATTATACATAGAAAACACCCAGATTTCTAGGTATATTATGTACTTATATAAAAAAAAATGTATCGAAGTATTTATCAGTTATCTAGTACCCATAACACAAGCTCCGCTTAGCTTCAGACTAGACGGCATTGCGTGAATTGTTCAAGTTTATTATTTAACTAGCTACTCACCCCGGCTTCGCACGGGTGTACATGTATTATACATATAAACCTTCCTCTTGAATCACTCTATCTATTTAAAAAAAAAAAGATTCTAAATCCGTTGCGTAGTTTTAAAAATTTAAGCATACATAGGTACGAACAAACAGCGACAGCGACTTTGTTTTATACTATGCAATGATTTCAGGGATGGCAATTGTGGTCTCCGCTGTGACAATTATAGGATTCTTTGGATACTGGGCGTGGGGGGAGTCCTGTAGAACACCTATAACTAATCATATGCCGATGGAAACGTATGTTTAACTATTAGCTTTGTTATTTTAAGCATATTTATTACCCTTGTTCTTGTGAAATGTATACTGTTGTAGTAATAAGAAAAAAGACTTGGTAAAACGGTGAAAAATATATATTAATATAGACTACTGACAATTAGGAATAGAAAGAATGAATTGAAGTATCAAAAACAAGAATGTAATATAAAAGAACTATAAATTTTAAATACAAATTTAGAATATAAAACATTTCTTCATTAGCCAGTTACAACATATACTAATGTAATACTAATTCATTTATTCTTTATTGAACAAAAACGAAAATTTTTGTACAACAGGAAAGCTTAATGCCGTATGGAGTTCTCTCCCAGCTGACCTTAGGGTATAAACAGAAAGTGTTGTGGGGTATTAGCGAGAATTATTACTGTACTAATATATAAATAGATACCTATATGATATAAATATAAAATAAACATAATTATTATACACAATATACATAGATAAATATATATAACCTGTAATATGCTTTTATATATATATATATATATATATATATATTTACAGGTTATATATATATATAGTTATATACTATATTCATTCATATATTAAACTAGTACGGAAATTTATTATAATTATACAGCGCATTCGTCGCAGCATGTTTCGTGAAGAACTTCCGCATTCCTAAGTTTAAATAATTATTGTCGCCAAAAACGAAAACATAGTAAGCTCATTAAATTTCCATTCATACGTAAAACTAAGAAACTCCCGGAATCTTATGTTTTATTTTTATTAACATCACCGAAATATCAATATCTAAATAAAAATAGATAAAATGTGGTAAATTCCGTTATTTTTCATTTTACGTATAAATAAGGACCACGTTAGTATATTTCCGTACATAGTTACAAAGATATAAATCAAATCAAATCAAAATATCTTTTTTCACGTAGGCCTATTACAGACTCTTATGATATATCAAATCTACCATCATCGGTTAGGAATGCGTTCGAGATGAGAAGAACTGACAAGAAAGTCAGCTCGTATTCTTTTCAAATATTGGTTAAAAAGATAATATAATAAAAATTATGTTTAAAAACAACTATACTAATAGTACAAATGCGAAAGTGTGCTTCGAAAGACGAAGTCACGCTTGTCACAGCTTGTGATATACATATAAATTATTGTTTTTTTAAAGGGTTCCAATCATACTACGATTTTTACTGGTAGCAATGTTGGCGGTAACGTTTGCCGTACAATTCTGGGTTCCATTTCGGACAATGTGGCATTATATTGGAAAGAAATATTTAAGGTACAATAGCAATTACTTAGTACCTTTAACATCATCATCATCTGCTTCTTCCTTATCCCATTTATTTGGGGTGGGCCTAATATGTTTTTCTGTCCCATTCATCCCTGTTCGCAGTCATCTAGTTATTTACTTCCTTTCTTACCATATCATCTTTCACACAGTCCATCCATCTCTTTTTTGACCTTCCTCTGCCCTTATTCCACCGTCTACATATTTAACCAACTACATTTATATGTAACACTTTCTTACTTAATACTTTTATCTGCGTTTAGGTTGTAAGATGCAGATTAAGAAGTGAAATTATAGGGCAAGAGGCATGACACCTTAGTCCTCTGGAACAATATCTGGGTTGCCACATCATAACATAATGGCGTAATAACATATGTATACAGGGACGGTCACGCGTACCATCAGGTTGATTGTTGACTATTCCAGTTACTTAAAAAAAAATCATATTATATATAGTTAATAGATAGAAGGTATATCTTCCATCGCTTAGCTCTTCTTAAGAATATCCTTCAATTCTTGTCCCTGATGGGTCTCGGTAGCGAACTCTGAAAAAGGGCAAGCACAATCTATGTATGTAGGTCGCAGACCGTAGTGCTACAGGTTCAAGTACCTGACTTCCCAAAAAATAAAAATAGAAGGTATATTTAATATTTCAGAAAACGAGGCTATTGGGAAAGGTTCTACAGATTGCTGCATGTATTCACAATTACAGCTATCGCTTTACTATTTCCAAATATGATCAAATTGATGGTTTTCGTAAGTGTAACTGAATTTTTATATAAATCTATACAATATATATTATCAGCTAGAGGTCCACATAGTTCTCCCTGGAAGCTATTGCGATTAATTTTACAAATACCCCATAATCACATGTCACTAAGACCTGGATGAAGTAGCTATTTTGCTGTCCTTCCTGTTACCGCTGTCTCGCACATATTAATAATATGTTTTTATCTATTTGTACATATTAGTTTTACATTTTTTTTTCTATTTATACATATTAGGTTTTTTTGTTTGTTTTTAATTCACTAACTACCGACATTACCTGCTAAATCACACTTTTAGTTTCCTACGAGACGTTTATTAGAGATGATAAAGTTCTATATTGTAGAAATAGTAGAGTATAAAGAGAAAAAGTGAAAAAGATAGTATGTAAGTTGAGCGTAAGTAGTAAGTTAAATATAATGATAAATGTCAATTAAGTGCGATGCAGGCGAAGTTACTCGGGGCGGCATGTAGTTCTATATGTTTTAAATAATAGTACCATTATGTTAATTTTTTTTTCAGATGGGTGACTTCTTTCTAGCCTTGATCGTTTTTATTTTTCCAGCTGTTATACACATAAATGTCACTTGGAATGAACACAATCCGGGGGCAATTAGGTATTTAAATATATTTGTTAATTAATATGTTTTGTTTTCATTGTTTTTGGTTTATATTACAGTTTTAACCTAGTAGTCGAGAACTAAATAACTTTATTTACTTTAAAATTATTTATGATAGACCCATTTCTTTAATATAATTAATATGGCAATTCACACAACGCCCTCTAGTCCCAAGGTAAGCAGAGCTTGTGTTATGGGTACTCGACAACTGATATAAATACATAGATATTTTTTGTAGTAAATACATACATAGTATACATAGAAAACACCCACAGCGATACAAACAATCATACTCATGAATACAAAATGTTTGTACCGTGCGAGGAATCGAACCCACGATCATCAAAAGTCGCATCAAGGTTATATATACGTATTAATGTTTATGGTGCATAGATTAAAAAAAAAGAAAACATATTCAATCGTATATTTTCTACATGTCTTCTGCTTGAGTACCTCTGTCTTACCTATGTCAACAATGTATGTTTGTAAGATGTGTTTCAGTGAAGGGATTATATAAGGCAGTGAAATTACAGGGTAATAGATGTACATGTTAAGAATAATATCCGTAGTGCTGTTCATGTACTTAGGTGATGATTTATAATATGTAGACAATATATGAATGTTTTGTGATACCCTACTACTACCATTGGTTGAAATCTGGATACTGGGTGTATTTGTTTACACTTATAATGTTTATTTTACTAATTATCGGCTCTCAGACCCACACCACTGTTCCTACTCGCCGTTCACAGCTTAATGCACAGAACACCAATGCTTAATGCCCGCATGATGCCAGCAGTGTGCGCTAGAGACGACATAATGCTTCCTTCCCTTTCCCACGTATCCCACTTGTCATATGACGACACGAAAATAATGATACGTAATTATAATTATATTATTATTATTTATTTGCAGATGGAGTTGTATAAAAGATGTGGCCATAATTCTGTTCGGTTTATCTTTGTGCGTCGGTGCCTTTTATTGTATTTTTTAATATTTAGAAAAATATATCTACCTATTAATAGATTTACATTATTTTATTATACACATACATACAGACAATATATTTAGCGCGGCATTTACCTAAGCCACGCTATACATATATCTACAAAGTGTTTTTATTGTCAAGAGTAGGACTGACTATGACTAATAGACATGCGGTTAATTATTAAAAACCGTTTAATTATTAAAATACACTTGCACCATATACCTAAATAGAGACCGAAAAATCTTTTTTAAAAATTCCACACGGTAAATGATTTGGTATAGTACAGCTTTTACCAACGGGATGTGTAACGAAGGACCTTGTTGTTACTTTCAAATTATTGCAGTTACTATTGCTACAGTCGTCTAGTTGCAGTAAATCTACAGCACATAATATACATATAATGGTATCGAGTATAAAATCCGCGAACATCGAAAGTAAAATGATGTGCTAAATCGCTGGACCACTATGGACTTCTTATGGTTATTTTAATATTTTAAACATTTATAAATCAAACCACTACGACAATTAGTTATTGCTTGCAATATATTATTGACAGACACAAGCAAATATGTAAATTATATTGAAGTTATAACATTCAAAGTTAACCTTCCCAGCGCCAGTTGAACTACAAGCAGGGACGAATTGACAAGCCAGTAACTAGAGCTATTGCATACCTATATACCGAGTACTATGGAGCTAGTACGTTAAACATTCTGAATAACTAGTTATTTAGTTCTACTGTAGGAATCTTACTTTTTATGTAACTAGACTGGTAAAAAAGCCTACGACTAGCCTAATGCTTAAACAACTCTCCTAAGCACAGGAAATGCACCACGGATATTACATTGTCAAGTCCCCTGGAACCTCTCTAAGTTGCCATTCCGGAGAACTATGGTGTCAGGCTTCCGTACCCTATAATTTAATTGCCATCTTTCACAGAACAAAGCTTATAAAAAATACCACTTAGTGATTAAATTGATTAATTAAATTGATTTGTCATGCTCATTAACATGTTTTTTTATCATTTTATACGTAATAGTCTGTGAGAGGAACAATAAGTTTTCTTTCGCTCAAACTTACCTAGAAAGCTTTGCATAAAGTCTACCTTTGTAACATAAATATGTACGGTACAATACATTGGAAATGTTACGAAATTTATTACGATACTATAATAACGAGTACTCGTTTTAGTAACTAGTATTTGCGAACATAGTTTTGTAGTTACTTGTACAGCTCTTTAGTGCAAAACTTGTTCTGTCCTTTAACAAGCACAAGTTTCATGGTTCATCCGCAAGTTGTTAAACAGTTATGGGGAATAGCTAGAATGCGGTTCGAGGTCCAAAACTTTGGTGAAATCCTCTCATACCTTTGGTAGGATGATCTGCATCAGATATTCGTAATAGAACGCTATAATCGCATATTTGCAATTCATACGATCGACAGTAAGTTACGTAGCCTAAGTTATTTACTGACCTACTTAGAAGCTTGAGAACGGCAGAGACTGCAGTGATCTAGCGGTTTAGCTCACCGCTATATTTTCCGTGGCTTCGATGCCAAATATTTTACTATATTCAAATATTTGTATAATTCTGGGTGTTTTACTATATATAAAAATTAAACATTTAGGTCTGTCTTATTATGATCAATATGCTGCTTAGTTGGGAATTATTATAGACAGTACCTACTATGTGAATTGGGAACACTAATGTATATTTATGTGTAATTTTATATTTCTGAATGACTATTCAGTGATGGAAACATCGATAACATTAGCAACAAACTAAGAGGGATGAGGCTTGACAGAATAAGAATAATTTTCCTATGTGAATTGTCCTGGGTTATTATTGTCATCTTTATATATGTATGATCCTAACAAATTTAATAATCCACAATAATATTATGTATAAATGAAAATGTCTGTCCGTCTTCCTATCTGTCTGTTATCATTTCACAACTAAACAGTTAAACTGATCCTAATGAAATATGGACATAAAGATCTCAGGAGGACATATGCTTCTTCAATCTATCTTTTATCTCAAAGAAATACCTGAACAGGAATGAAATTGCAGATGAAAGTTTCTTCAACGAAGTTGCAGGTAACACCTAGGAATTTATATTCTGGGATTGAACCCTCACCATTTTGTCGAAGGCGCACTGACTTTGCCTTAGGATTTAATACACATTAAATATCTAAGCAACATATTTATATATTAATATTCAAACTATACAGGTTTTCATAGTTTGTAGGTTAATTTCCTTATAGACCCTACTAAATAAGGAAAGTACCTGCATTAAATATTTAACGATGCAAGGAATTTCCCAAGGTAACATGAGAATTTTCCTTATTTCACCTTCAAATATTTCCGTTTTGTTTGATTTAAATGAGAAAATAAAATAATTATGATGGGTTCCGGTTTTGAATTAAAAGGAGCAGCCAGTCTGCTCAGGAAACTAATTCCAATTCAATAAAATTGGATGCTTTGTTTAGCACCTTTTTATACTCTTCTATTCTTGATGGCCTCGATCAACTAGTTGTTTTACTTCGATGGTCGCGGATTCGTTTCCTCGCACGGTATATACGTATTCATAAGTATCTGGTGTTTACTATGTATATTATGTATTTACAAAAAAATATCTAAGTATCTTATGTTGAGTACCCATAACACAAGCTCTGCTTGACTATATAACGTTGTGAAAAGTAACGATTAAGTAATAGATCACGATATTTTAAGATATATTTTGTGGTCTATGTAAGAACAAAGCTGAGGCAGCTGCTATTACCAGCTTTGTATATATTTTTATGTATAATATTGTACATATATTGCCAAAAAAGTTATTATGTATCATAATTCGATTTAGTCTAGATTGCTTTTCCAAAGAACTGTAAGTACTAAAATGGTTTGAATTGAAAATAGACCTGCAATTTTAAATTACTATTCGATATATTCTCGATTTGTGTTTTGATGTGTTGATTAAGCCTAAAATTGTGTTTCGATAAGAGCACATATTTGTCACATAAAATTAAAATCCTATATATTAAAATGTATTACTTATTTTACACTATTACAAAAAATGACGGTAGTTGAAACTACTGGCACCTATCGATATTGGCATTGTTGTTACTCCAGTCTGCTCGTGACCACGGCTAGTGTGACGTAGTCGAAACATCGAGAGAGGTAAATATCTTTGTTTACCATAAATTATTCGTGTTAAAATCCGTTTAAATAAATCTTTATATAGAATAAAGTGAAGTGCTTCCACTGCCTATTTGCTTAGATCTTTTAAACTACGCAACGGATTTTAATCAAGTTTTTAGCAATATAAATAAAGTGATTGAAGAGGAAGATTTATATGTATACTATACGTACACTCATGCAAAGCCGGGGCGGATAGCTAGTTAACAATAAAGTGTTTAAGTGTGTCTGCAAGTTAATATAACCCATGGATACTGCTACAGGTTGGTGTGCAAGGAAGACTATGGAAGCAACCAAGGTTTACCTCATACTTTAATATATTATTTTCCTTAACATACACGACTGTTATATCATTATAAGTCACATATATGTGTATACATATATAGTCAAGCATTGTCAACTGTCGAGTTTCTGGTGAACGTAACACTGGTCTGACTACATTTAATTGAATACATTTTTTTATTGATTGTATATATATTTTTTAATGTTTCTATATTTTATTTATTCATGTATATATATATTGCTGAACTTATAATTCTTAGAAATCCGCTGCGATTTGTTACAGTGGATGTTTTTATAAAAATTTCTCACTGGAGGACCTTAAGTCATATTTATATGTTTACGTATGTATGCGGTATACTTACGTATTGTTTAAGTTCATTAACTCGTAAACAATAGTTTTAGAACTAATATTATCTGTGGCTTTATCCAAGAAGCCAGAGTTTACGGTTTCGTAATAAATGGATTCAAATATATTAAATATTTGAATCCAACGTGGTAAAGGGCGAGTCTACTCACTCTACTCGCTATACTCGGAATAGTTTGGTTTATCATCGATGTTTCTAGTATTAAAGAGTCGGTGAGAAATATTACATACATTACTACAGTTTTTATCGATCCGATTCGAACTGACTACCTTTGAGTCTGAATCGGATTATAAACCATTACACGATGCTCTATTTACTAAAATATGACAAGTATATCTGCATGCTTCTGGTATATTTATAAACATATGTTTTTTATACTTTTTGGTAAGAAAGAAGATTGAAGACGAGTATGTAATGCGAAGAAAGCAAACAAATGTACCGGTATAGTTACTTTGTATTGATTAATGTCAGATATATAAAACACTATAGTTATTATAAAAAAACAAACACAATAAAGAGGTGTATATATATATATATATATATATATATATATATATATATATATATAACAGTTTCCAACAATATGTTTATTAATGGCGGTAACTACGCCAAATGAACAATATATAAATAAACATCTGGACTGATATTTATATCATCGGGTCATGCATTAATTTGTCACAATAATAAGATCGGGTCTGCGATAAATTGATACATAGTATTGACACAGAATCAGTTCTATTGTTAGGCATAAATTTATGACAGGCTCGATGAATACAAACCAGGGTTGACAACCGTACGAGTGTCGAGTACCTACCTATACTAAATATGGCACACTTTTTTTCATTTCGAACCTGGATTCGCCAGAGATCCACCGAGATACAAAACCAAAGATGGATTCAAACCACTGATTGCAAACAATCAAAAGTGGCAATTCCAAAAACCAAACCATCGATTGACAAAACGCCTATTGAATCTAGATAGGGATAACCTCAAAATAATTATAGGGACAATAACGGGCCATTGTCCCTTAAACAAACACCTGTACACAATAGGGGACAGACAAATCCTCGGAACGGTGAGGTCGCTCCATGAAGCCTGTGAAGACTCCAGGAGACTTCTGCGCTTTTGGAAGGAGCTTTCCAGCCAAGCTACTTTAGTAGTCTGGCTCTACGCACAACGACAAATGATAGTCTAATTGCGGAGACTGGAGTCCAATTTACATTTACATTTATGTGGCACACTTTTACGAATTCTTTTCCATGGCTAAGGAAAGAAAGAAAATCATTTTCCGACAACCATTGCATTCACATATTCATATAACAACAAGTAAACATTAAGATTAACATATATAAACACACGTTATATAAAGCTAGCATATACATATGTATATGCTAGCTATGCCCGCGACTTCGTCGAAATTTGTAAATAAGATTGTAATTGTAAATAAGAAAGATTATATGTTAAACCCCTTAGAACCCTTTTTCGCATTAAAAAGTAGCCTATAACCTTTCTCAGCGTCTAGACTATCTGTGTGCAAAATTTCATTAAATCAGCTCAATAGTTTTGACGTGAAAGCGAAACAGACAGACAGACAGAGTTACTCTTGCATTTATAATATTAGTAAAGATATACATATGCATACGCACATATACACATAACAATTACAGCTAGCCGTGACAGGTAACTGTCAGGTCACATCGTTGGTATTCTGTGCCTGCTAGACAACACGTACAGCTCGGTGTCTCCGTGCCTTTGCCTTTCGATAGCTGTAAGGATCTCCCCACCGCTAGCGACAGTCCCATTGACAGGGGGGAAGGGAATTGTCAGTAATGGGAACTAGTAACTACCATTGCTAGCAATGTACCATGTTAGGTCGACCTCCACGCGGTTCCCCCTGGAAGCCATCGTGATAAATTCTTGGCGAATTTGTCACGATGGACTAACTGACCTGACCTCATGTTCATCTTATCATCCTCCGCTGGTGCCCCGCCAGCGTAAACCGTTAGCGCAGGCAGGTGCACCATTCCATTATCAAATACAAAAAAAAAGTCCCATTGACAGCCAACAAAACCACCGTATCACCTATATCAGCCGTCTGTTGAGATAAATCAGTGAAATTACTGAATGTGATGCATGACATCTTAAATCTCAGGAATGACAACGCCGGAGTGGTGCGTACGTTATACGATAGCGTGATGGTTATTATAATATATAATGGTTCAGTTAATGTTAGACATAATATATATTGTAAATAAACTTGACATGGTATATCGCTAGCAATGGGGTTACCATGTCAGGTTGACCTCCACGATTTTCCCCCTAGAAGGCATCGTAATAAATTTATGGTGAATTTACCACGATAGGCTAACTGACCTGACCAAATAAACTTACCATATACTTACCATCAGGTGGGCCGTCAACTTTTGTCTCATTTTAATTACTTAAAATATATTTCTAGTTCCTTTACACAAAATAAAAGTTTTGAGGTTGGCAACCCTGAACCAGATTTGCAAACAAACTTATTTGATGGTCCATGTTCATCAAAGTATCTAAAATTACCAATATTATTGTATGTTTCGGTTTTAGCTTTTATGTATTCATTATTGTAACGAGTTTACTGCGTTCAATGCCAATAAGAAAATATTATATTTATTTGTTTATTAAATCTTTTATGCACAAATACACAAATATAGATGCATATGGCGGACTTAATACCATAGAGGTATTTTCTGCCAGTCAACCATTGGGCAAACAGAGATCTTTGTGGGCAGTGCATTTAAAAAAAAATTAGGTATACATACACACAATAGTTCGAAAGGAAAAAATGTTTTACGGGTTTATTAGATGTTTAAGATTTTCTATAGATAAGGAATTAATATTCCTCGATTTTAATATAACTGCAATGACAAACATGTTGTCAACTCATCTGATGGTAAGTGGTAACCGTCGTCTTCTTACCCTACAACCAAAACGCTCCTATATATAGAGTGATTGAAGAGGAAGGTTTATATGTAGACATGTACAGCCGTGCGAAGACGGGGCGGTTAGCTAGTTTATAAATAAAAAAAAATAGCAGTATTACACACCTATCTGATTTTATGTTATAACTTTGTAAATGTCAAAACTATGTACTATATATATACATATACAATAGTATTATGTAACATTGAAATTTTTTTACTAAATCATCTAAATAATTATGTTTTATCAGTATGCTATTTGCTATGTTATTTGTACAATGATAAATACTATTTACGTGTATAATGATATATAATTTGAAACAGATGAGATAATTTATAAATGAAAACTGGTTAAGAATCTAGAAGTGAATCTGTAATTATTTTATTAAAATCCAATTGTATGACGTTGTAATACCATAGATAAAGGAATACTATATACAGTTCGTAATACACTGAAAACTAGTAGAAGACAGTAAATAAAATCCATACTAATATTATGTGCATGAAAATGTTTGTCTATTTGTAAACATAGGTAAACTAAACGTGATCACCGTTACATGGGAACATAGTTTCCATTGTGATGTTCATATATTATATACAGACGACGGTTACAATACAACTTACCAACAGGTGAACCGTCAGTTGTTTAAATTTTAACCTGAACAAATTGGAATTAAAATAGATAAAAAGATAGATTCCATCGCGAGGACAAACATAGGCTCTTCATCTATCTCTGGAAATCTAGACTAAATAGCGGAAAACATGTCTTAAACCTAACTTCAGTCATTTCAGTATGTAATTTATTGGAGTATTTTTTGTTTTTCAAATTGTACATACTGATAAACTTGCATGGTCATTAATTAAATATTAATATTTAAAATACAATACGTTATTACATCAATAATTTTGAACTAAAATGTAATGGCATTTTTTTAACTGGCTAAAATCTTCATATCAACCGAACCTACCCTTGGAGTGGTAGACGGGTATTGCCGGATTCTTACTGGCTAAAAACCCCAAAGTGTTCCTTCTTTTAACCTTTCACCACCTTTCCCAGTCACGGGAATACGCGAGAATATTTAATCAGTTTAACGAGAGCAAACACTTGACTGAAAACACAATATGTACTTACTACAACTATAAAATATGTGAAAGTGACATTATTTGCCTTAATGGCGTAACAAATTATCATTAAATTTGACTAGACGTACCAAAAACACGTAGTTTTAAACCGGTTCGTAATATACCGCACTCACGCAGACGAACTCGCGGGCACAGCTTGTATATGATTACATGAATTACAAAATGTACAGTTAAATCAATGGTTACCATATTTAGGAGATACTCCAGATAACTACCCGAACCTGTTGCGAAGTTATACCGTTAGCTTAGGGTGAGAGCAAGCGGGTGTTATTTTTAACGATAATTTTTAATCAATCAATTAATTTATTATTTAAATGTATTGAAATTTATATATAACAATTTGCGCAAATATACCAATTTATTAATCAATTTATTTTGCGCTTAAAAGTACATTGGTGTCGTATTAAATGTATTTATATTATAGAATATGCTTATAATAACCATTTAACATGTAAAATATTTATATACATTATGGAGAGCTTTGCTTTTAAATCTTCTCTCAAATAGTATACCATTTGAGAAAATGTTAAAAAAAATGGATTATCGTAAAAAATATTAAAGAGTTTATTTAATTTAATTTTAATTATTATTAATAATATTTAAAGTTTACTTAAATTAAATAAAAGCAAAGCCTCTCCATAATGTGACAATTTCCATAAATATTTTACATGTCAAATGGTTGATTCAAGCTAAGCATATTCTAATACATTTAATACGACACATAAATACATACACAAAATAAATTGATTAATAAATTGTTATACTTGCGCAAATTATTATATATAAATTTCAATACATCTAAATAATAAATTTATTGATTGAATAAAAATTATTATGTTATGCAATATGGAGTAATTCAAGGCTAGAATCAGTAGACACTACTTTAACTCGGATTTTTCCTCTTGCTGGAAAAGATTACAATAATGGCGAGATAACTTTGTAAAGGATTTTCGTTAGATATTTCCTTCTTGAGAGCGTCGTAACTATCTGACCCGGCAAACGTTGTTTTACCCTATAAATTAATCAGTTATCAACCACCCAGAATAGAAAATGATTAAATTACTAATATCACTGTTTAAAAATAGGGGTTGAAGGTAGAAGAATGAAAATTTAGGGCTGTATGATTTTTTTTATGCCGATTCGTAAAAATAATATCTAATAATTAATCTAAAAATAAAGGGGTGGACCACCACTATCACTTAGGGGAATGAAAAATAGTTTACAGCCTATTCTCAGACAGACAGAATAAACAATATTTCATAAAATTCCATGAAGCCATTCCGGAGGAGTTTTGTTACAAATACACGACAATTTTATATATTAGACATATTGAGGAAAACATACATGTTTTACATAAACAACGAATCACCGTTACCAATACCGTCTGACTATCTGAAAAATATCCCACATCATGAGTAATAAATCATGCACATACAAAATATTTTGCTTTTATTGTGGTTTACATGATATTACCTACATATATAGTTAAGTGATCACCAGAGTCTAATATATTATATTTTATATCCTTACACTAATATTTTGTTTCTAATTGATTGATTAATTATTACGGTAATATATGACAGTATAGTAATATATTGGGGATGAAACGGATGAATAAAAAACATACACTGTCTTTATTTTAATGAATTTTATCGTCAAGTGTACACATCTTTACTAGGTCATTGAGGACAGATACGCAAGCCATGGACTAATTGATACCAACTAAGACATCGGTACTGTTCGGTTGTGTTGTATATAGGATTGCTTGCAAAATGGAGATGAGCAAACGAGTGAGTACGATTTTTTTTAAATATATTGTTTTTCAGACAACTGCTATCATTTAATTCTTATAAAAAGATAATTAGTAGAAAAGTATATATGTTTAAAAATAAATTAATTCATTTCTCTTACCGCTACCGTGTGTATTACATTTCTTCCTATTTTACCTTCGAAGTAATCATAAATGAAGCGTATAAATAAGTTCGTTCGACAATAAAAACGAGTTATTTTCAATAAAGACTTTTAATGCAATAAGCATTAAAAGTCTGAGACGGAGTAAATCCTTTGAAAACTATAATTAAAAAACAATTGTCAGTTTGTCTCTAATTGGTTTAGATAACGCACTATCTATTTAAAAAAGTACATTAGCACAGATGCCTATATTACTTACTAAAACATGTTAAAAAGTGTCGATTGTTTTAAAGAAAATTATGTGAGTGTGTGAATGGTTTTAAGGACAGAGGCCTAAAAAGAATTGTGATAGACTTGTGAAAGATAATATGGAAGAAAAGGAAGTGAATAACGAGATGACTGCAAACTGAGATGAATTCAAGAAGAACATTACACAACCCCAAATAACATGGGATAAGAAAAGAGAAATTTTACTAAACAATTGTCCAAAATATATAGAATATAACACTTGTAACCTATACTTTATAATATAATATACTTAAATATACGTGTCTTTACAATTTTAATCAGCATGTATCCAAAATCGATTTGGTATTTTCTAAATAGTACATAAAATGCAACAACGCGTGCTTCCAAATCTAATATTATACTGAAGAACAATTTAACATTCTTTTTGTAAGGGAAATACTTAAAACTACTTAAGCAAATTTCGTTTTCTGCTATAAAAATATACAATTCGCTGTCCTTAAGGTAGACATTTGTATATATTGTGCACGTCAATTTATTCTATTACTAGTTTTGTCCGCGGTTTCACTGGCGTGAACGTTATGTATGCCTATCTGTTATTGTGATGTATCAGCTATATTATTTTAAAGTGTCATTAAAATCCATTCAGTCCGAGTAGTTTTTGCGAACTAACAAACTTTCTCGTTTATAATATTAATAAGATAAAATATTTTGCCCTATTGTCCAGCATAGGCTACCTGTATTTTCAACTTATCTGTTTCAATAATAAAAAATATTCTGAATTCATGTAAACTTGCGTCCTTTTCTAAGTAGACAAGTAACATAGAAATATTATTCTCCAATTCTTAAGTCATAACACGAATAATTTTATGGTTAATAAATATACCTCTCTCGACGATTAGAGTAGGTTTCATTGGTCGTGATTACAAGCTGTCCTATCTATTTACTACCTAATATTATAAAACTGCTCGTTTGTTTAAAAACTATTAATGAGAATTGTATTGAATAGTTTATTCTTCGAGGAAAATAAAATCTACATAACATTACGGTACAACCAATAGTAATGAAACATCAATATTTTTTTTTACAAAAGTAGGGAAAATGCGACTAAGATGCAAGAGTCGGCTAATTCGATTAAAAGAGCAGCACGTAAGTTTCTTGCTCGTTCTTATTATGATGAGACAGCTTACCGAATGAGCGACAAATTAAAATTGGATAACTATGACTATTCAAAAGTGCCTAAAGTGCGTAGATTAAAGAAATATGTTGTACTTAATCTAAAGTTGAATATAAGTTTATTTGAATAAATGATTTCTACTCTGTTCTGTTCTATTCTCAATAGAAAATAATGCTTGTTAATACTAATAGTGTGAGTAAATGCGAAATATTAACTGGACTTATTTCAACTAATTATTTATTCATCTATACGACATTGACTGCATTTAATTAAAGACATAATTGTTACTTTTTTATACCACGATGCTGGCAATCAAGCATATCGCCCGTCTCATTAGTGTTGTTAGTATACGATGACAGTTTGAGAAACACAAATTTATACTAAGTTAATGTTTCTCAAACTTATAACTCTATTTACCCGTAGCTCTACAAAATCTTCTAAATCACAGTAATCCCTTTAAACCTTGAATATCGATTTCCTTCCGATCATCCCCTGCCCCATTTTAATGGAAAAACATAGTGTACATAGAAAACACCTTATACAAACAATAACCCTGGACAATTGAATCAACGCCATCTAGTCCCGGTAAGGGGATTGTTAGTAATGTAGACTCATGACCTATTACTAGCAATGTACCATATCAGGTTGACCTCCACGCGGTTTCCCCTGGAAACCATCGTGATAAATTCCTGGTGAATGTGACCTCATGTTCATCTTATTATCCTCCACTGGTGCCCCGCCAGCGTAAACCGTAAGCGCAGGCAGCTGCTCCATTCCATTATCATCAATAAAAACTCCCGGTAAGGTAAGTAGAGTTTGTGTTATCGGTACTACACCGACAACTGATATAAATAGTCCGATTTTTTTTTCTAAATACAACTCATGAATACAAATGTTTATACTGTGCGAGGAATAGAACCGGCGACAGCGGTGTGGTAAACTGGTAGACTACCGATATACCTAGCGGAATAAGAGTAAATCAAGAGTTCTTTCCGTCGACAAAATTCTAATATCAGAATATATAATGTATTGGAATACATTGTAGTCTCAAACGAGCATTATATTGAAAGTGTGATTATTTGACATTTGCACTAAATATGCGTCAATTGATACTCATCATTTATAACACGCTTCAATCAAGAAACAATAACTGACGGCGTATATTCGTATGTCACTGCCACTTACTTTATTTGTATGGCTTAAATGTGCATTGTGACGGAACTCTCCACAATGCACTGGAAAATTTCTAGAAGTGTAATTGGCGTTACTATTAGAGTCATTGTTTGTGGAATAAAAAGTATAATCAATAACATTTAAAATTAATATAGTTATTGCTCATTAACAGATGTGTCTTAATTTGACGGCCTGGTGGTTTAGCGGTTTAGCACATCACCTTACTTCTAATGGTCGCAGGTTCGATTCCTTGCACGGCACAAAGATTTGTATTCATGAGTAGGATTGGTCTGGGTGTTTTCTATGTATAATATGTATGTAATTACAAAAGAAATATCAAGGTATTTATTATTTATCAGTTGTCTAGTACCTACAACACAAGCTTTAGTTAGCTTAACATAGGTCTATGTTAAGATATGTAAATTGTCCTGAAATTATTACTATTATTATAAATTGTATTTACTCCGATACATAATATATCCGATGAATATCTCCCTCAGTTATACCCTTTTATATATCTAGAGATATTTCCTGGAACTTCTTTTTATGACTTTAGTAATCAATTTGCCTGCCTGGAATTTAACCCTTTTTGATTTTGTTAAACTAAATTATATTTCTAAAATAAAATTAACTTTATTAGCTATCCATCTGTTTCAGAGATTAGACAGAAGGCGCAGACAGACAAAAATTTTTACTATATTTTTTTATGTTGTTGAAGTACCATATATATTTTCAATGTATAGTTTAGTGAAAAGCTGTTTATTTGAAATTGCGAACATTCAACCGCGGAGCAGGTTGCTTTGTAGACTGTGTTTCGATTAAAGGGTGAAATGAGACAGTGAAATTAGAGGCGAGGATCTTAGTCATCGTAGCGTATTTTGAGATACAGTCTGCTTGCCTATAAAGAGACATTGCAATCCATGAATGTTTGTGATCTTTAGTAAATGCAAAAGTAACTCTATCTATCTGTCTAACGTGCTTTCACGGCAAAACTACTCAACTGATTTTTAATGAAATTTGGTACACAGATACTCTAGACCCTAAGAAAAAATGTAGGCTACTTGTTAATGCAAAAAAAGATTTGTAAGATTGTATGGAAGTATTGTGATTTTTATGGTCACTATTCCAGGCGGAAACTTAAAAGTACTAAAATAAATTTTCATGCTCTTAAATTTTATAACGTTTTCTTATATATCTACAGAACCCTACAGACAGTCAAGTGAAAACAGAGGGACAAAGCATAAAGCCACCACCGCAGCCACCGCCAGAAGACAACCAAAAGAAGTTTGTCTGTTATTCAGAAAAGGAACCATATGACTTTGTGGCAGAAAGATGCGTTTCGAAGCCTACCAAGTGATTAATTAATAGTTTATTTTAGTTAGTAGATTGTTCTGTGTATCAATTTAAATATATAATAATAACACTTAATTGTGCACAAAAATATATTTCCAAAGAAAAAGAACTTTTTAACTGCTAAACAAAAGGACGTCCTAACTCTTAAAGCAATCTCTTATATAACTGCTATATAATTCTCCAGAGATGACAAATGGTCATAACTAGCTGTACTGGAGACTTCGTCAGCGTGGAATTTAACTTAATTTTTCTAAAATAAAAGTAGTTACTCCTTATTACATCAGCGACCTGCTAAAAAAAGTACCGTCAAAATCGATCCAACCACTTCAGAGATTAGCCGGATCAAAGAGGCAGACAGACAAAATTTTAAAAAAATGTTATCATGATGTATGTACCGTATTTATATTCATATGCATGTAGTAAAAACCTGTTATTTCAATATTACAAACAGACACTCCAATTTTATTCGATATGTTCTGGAATTATTAATTATTAAAATTATTTAGTTTCACATAATACACCACCCTTTTGGTTTCACATAATCATGCATCCCTAATTTGACCATAAACTTAATGATCTTCAAACTTATAAAGTCTGATTAATATTAATGGAATTAAATTATTTCGTTCATTTGTTTTCAGTGTTCTAGAATCTATAGGTCATCTCATCAAAGGTTGTCTTGGCGGTGGAATTCTAGGCATCCACGAGGCTTACATGAAAGGTGGTCTGTGGACATCATTAATCTTGACTATTATCTTTGGATTCTATATAACATATTGTGTTTATGTAAGTATTGATTTGATTCGAATTTCATTAATATTAACTGTAAAATATATTTCATTTATTTAATGTAGGCTTTTTATGTCCCATATTACATATAAACCTTATAGAATAATATATGAAAGAAATAATAATAAAATAGGTTGTCTTTATAATCACTGACGACGGCAATACACCACCCCTTGCCAGTAGTCCTTCTTCGTAATATTCCAAACTTGCTATATTAGCTATTATAACTAACTTTGTTATTTTTTTTAATAAATTAGTGCCTTGTCCATCCTCATGTCAAATTTCATTCACTTCTGTTCAGCCACTTTAGTTATGAAAAGGTATCAAACGGACTGATAGACATACTTGTGATTAGATAGACGTATTACTAAATTTAATGTGGAATTTGGATTACATAATAACGGAAGGCCATCAACAAAAAGACCCGAAATTATATAGATGTGAGATTTTATATGCCATGAACAAAAAAAATATTATTTATTTGTAGCTTCTAGTAAAATCAGCACAAATGCTCTATAAAAGGTTACATATAACAGAGATGTCGTATCCGGATGTCGCTGAGGCCTCATTAGAAATAGGACCGTTCCCCAGTTTGAAGAAGTACAGCAAGTGGTTTAGGTAAGAGTAAATTTAATTTCATATGCTAAAATGTCCTAAATGATTAAATATTTTTTTTATTTTGCACTATAATCAAACAGCAGATATAACATAAAAAACTTTCCAAAATTATGTTAGTAGTAAACCAATAACCATAACTTTTCACTGAAATAGCTATTAAATAACTCTATACAAATAATTATTTACTAGTATCTGTTCTTCCAAATGAACTCTACTGCTTCTTGTATGCAACCTCCTCCATTACGCCCTTGGTCTAGCGGTATAACACCGCTTTACTTCTGATGGTCGCGGTTTGATTCTACGTACAGTACAAACATTTGTTTGTTTGTTTGTAATACTTTATTGTACAAATATATTATAAATAACAGGACACTATTGACTTAATAAAAATAAATGCGTACAATGGCGGACTTATCCCAAAAGAGGAATTCCTTTCAGTTAACCTTTGAGTAACTGAGAGGAATTGTGGAGTGGTGGAAATAGGTACAATAAATAATACGCGTCACAATGCAAATGCAATGCAAAAAAAAATAAGCAAACATATATAAAATTTGTATTAATTAGTATGATTGGTTGGTTTGGATGTCTACTATCTACCTATATGTAATTACAAAATAAATATTTATGTATTTATATCAGTAGTCTAATATCCATAAGGCAAGCTCTGCTTAGCTTATAGAACTGGATGGCGCTGTGTGACCATTCACAAGTAATAATCCAGTACCATGTACTGGATTATTACTATTGTTACAAGTATATTTTTGTACTATAGGTAATAATACCTATAATACAAAACTATAACTATAATATACACGCACAGAAAAATATTACAATAAAAAAATATATAAATATGCTTAACAAAAAGCGGCGTTATCGCTTAAACAATCTTACAGACTATATTATACTACATTTGTGACAAATTTTATTATTTCTTCAGATATGCTGTAGATGTAACAATATGTATAGACCTATTTGGAGCATGTTGTGTCTATCAAATAATTATAGCAAAAACTATAAAGCAAATTATAGAAGACTCGTATGGAATGACGCCTGGAGACTTGGACCAGTTGAGATTATATATCTTGGCGTTACTTATACCAGTGTTATTGTTATGTATGATTACTACATTGAAGTATTTAGCTCCGTTTACACTGGTAGCTGATGCATTTATAGGTAAATATTATTTTAAATTATATACAATAATAGATTACACAGCCTATCATATATTCCTGTTATTTTATTCACAAATGTAACACATCTAGTTACACAATTATATATCAAGAGAGAATTATGTCATAATTACAATTTTCATGATTTAAAAATATATATATATAAATTATGTAAATAAAATGTTTTATATCCGATAAGAGGTATACTAATAATTAAACTCGAACATACACAAGGTACATAAAAATACTAAATACTGTATATATTTTAATGTTTCTAACTATATCTCACGTGTCGCATATTTTTTGAAGATAATTAGAGTCACTTTTAAATAACTCGAATGGTAAAAATTAAATTACAAATTAAATGCATGCTTCATCAGACATCAATCCTTCATATTATAAGATGCTCATCATTTCCGACGGGAAATGGTAACCATCCATAGCATAAGGGATATTCGGATCTTATTAATAACCACAATACGTCGGTGCAAAGATAGAAAACGACTAATAAATCCTATACAATCAAATTCTTGTCTCCAATATAGATATTACATTATTTACCATTTAACACTGCTTCAGTTCCTAAGGCAGCTAAAGTTCAGTTACTATACAGTCACCATACAGTTGCATAAATTAAAATGCCTACTAAAATTATATTTAATAGTTATTTTTACATAAATTTATGTTAACTAAATTACTCATAATATTACTGTACTTATAGATACTTTTATTTACTATATTTTTTATTTTCTAACCTTATCTACAGTATATTGTATGCATATAATTTAGCTTCTAGGCACACATAGTGTTGGATTACAATCCAGTTTTGTACCAATTACACGCTTCTAAACTAATGTTTGTATTGATGTATAATTAATAAATAAATACTATTTTACAGGCATGATAATAGTAGATTAATTGTTACATAAGGGAAACCCAGCGTTTCTATGCTAAAGTATAATAATTTCGCGATTTTTAGCGATGCAATTAAAATTACAATTGCGTCACTAAATATATGCGATTTAATTTATTAATATACTCTTTTGTCTTATATACTCTTATCGTTGTTCTGATGTATAAGCTATATTACTGTAAAGTTTCATCAAAATCCGATTAATATTTTTTGCGTGAAAGAGTAAAAAAATTCCTTCTATACTCACAAACCTTCGCGTGTGTAATGTTAATGAGATTATAGTTAAATTTCCACTACTGGGCTAAACTGCTGGACTAAAGAGTAATTTGTAGACACAATGAAAATAATTTCGACTTTCAATTTCTAGTGGCATGCGTAGTTGCAACAGTAATATACGCAATGGAGGTGGCACCACCCATATCTGAAGTACCAGCCTGGAAGGACAGTTTAGGATTCTTCGAATTTTGTGGTATAGCCATATTCAGCATGGAAGGTATAGGTGTATCACTTCCAATTGAAAATAATATGAAAGACCCAATGAAGTTTCCGCTTGTTTTATGTATTGGTGAGTATTTCTGGATAAATTATTATTATTTCTAATTATTAACTGAAAAGCATCTGGGAGACCATCACAGAGCAAACAATGCTTACTAACTTTATACATCACTGGACATCCATATAAGTAAAGAAGAAGGGAAAGTCAATTTTAATTTTTATATACTCTGCTTTTTTAATTTATACTGTGTTATAAAATGTGTATGTATCTGTTGATGTAAATGATGTAAATATCTACCTATATAAATATTTATTATTTCAATTTATATTATGTTTAGCTGTAAATAATTTGCATGCGTTTTTCAATTGTTTTTAGGGAACGTTATGAAATGAACTTGTATACCATATTACACCTTCTAGACTCATTTTCAGAGTTTATAAATATATGTAGATTTATAAAAATAATTTAAACTTTTAAAATTAAATAGAAATGACAATGATCATTGGCTTCAATGTATAAATACTCATTACAAGTAATTAAATCACCTCTATATTTCAAATAAGCTTTGTTACATTATTATTAAATAATTTCAGGTATGTCAATCGTTGTTTCCTTTCTAATTTTGGTTGGATTTTTTGGATACTGGGGCTTCGGTGAAAGCAGTATATCTCCTGTGACATTGAACTTCCCTACAGAAACGTAAGATATCTGGATAGTTGTTATTTACTATAAATACTGTAAATTCTGCCAAAGAATTAAACATATCAGCTACATATAATAATGTACTCTTTTGTTTAAATATTTATAATTATCTTCATTGACCTATTTTTTAATAGTAACTTATATAATTAAAAGAAAAGGAAAGGTTGTCAGAAGGAAAAAAAAAATACTGCTCGCTTTGTCGACTGTACTCAAAGTTTGATATAAAAATATATCCACAAACAGTAACTTTGTGAGAATTTAGAGAAACGTTTATTATTTAGTATAATATAAATAGAATATTAGATAAGAAATACTTAGTAAATCTTCATATATTTTATCTGTGATAATGATGATGATTCTGAGTAAATTAATGATCTACTAATCCTCTAGAACCGTTTCATTGTCTATTACACATTAACTGCAAACAAACTATAAACATACTTACTCATTTTATAGTAATTGTACGAAGTAAATAACAACCAAAATAAAAATAAAAAATGTTTCTTCTGCGTGAGTACCGCATTCGCTATTTAAGATATGTTCTATTTGAGGGATCAATATAAGGCAGTGAATTTACGGGATTAGAGGCATGCGATTCTTTTTCTTTCTTTCTTTCAGAATGGCAGCGTATGAGTGCCGTTACATGATCACGTATTGTCGTAAATTGTGTATTACAATTACATAAATATCTTATCCATATCATTGCAATGTAAATTGCCTTTAAATCAGATGAGACGAACTTCATAGCAATCCATGAATTCACCGTGCGAGTGCCGTCCTTCGTCTATCAGAGAGGGAACCTCTGAGCAGTTCCCGGGACTTGTGACCCGGGTGTAGGTTTAAGGGGCTCCTTTTGCCGACGTACTTAAACACTCACCTTCACCGCTCGTGTTTCTCTTGCTGCCCAGCCAAATCTGGTAGGAGCTGCTAGTGCATTTAGATACACGTTCTAGTATAGAAACCACTGCAGTTCTAAACTGGTCAAGATGTTTTAGAAGATTGTAGAGCGATTTCCATGGTATACTTCTCGGTCCCACACGTCTCGTTAATTCGACAGCATATAAATTAACCACGTATCATAATTCGTTTATTAATTCCTAATATTTAATTGTTTTTATTGCATGATCATTATGTATATTTGTTTCCCCTAGTATTAGTGATCTCTACCAGTATTACACGTTTAGTTTTTTTTTTAAATATAGGAATATATCAATCTGAATGAAACACCTACATCCTCTGGGATTTTATAGTCACAATAAACTTGACGTTAGCCCTGGACGTGTTAAGTTGTCTATCAGTAATAACAAACTATTGCAAACGACGTACATTTATTATATGAACTGAACTTAGCATATTTAATTATCTTTATTACAGATTTCCTACAGTCTTAAAATGTCTGATGGCCGTTATGATCTTCGTAACATTTGCCCTCAACTTCTGGGCTCCATTCAACCTGGTGTGGCATTACGTCTCCAAGAAACATGATCCTGCAAAACACTGGATATGGGAGAGGATCTATAGAGCAACCTTCATTGTTGTTATTACAAGTATTGCCATTGCTTTCCCCAATATTGGCAATTTGATGGGTTTGGTATGTATAACTTCTTTTTGTCTTGAATAGAATAGTTGGTTACGCCAAACGCGATGCGTACCTGGTTTGTTGATGTGCATTGACACCCCTCCCGGCTAATTCAATAATCAGTGATGTCATAGCTTTCGCCGCGCGCGCAACTCATATCGCACGCATGTCTTAATAGTTGTAATCAACCTGAGTGAATTCCTGAGATTCCCGTAACCGTGTGGGCCCACTGAAGAACAAGCACATTGAAGTTAAGTCATTCATATACCAGCCAGTTTCCTATACAACAATATAGTCCATCGAAGAAGGCTAGATCATAGCCACCGCCGCACCATTTATTGGCCTTCCGTCGCCGGATCACAATAGGAATCGCAATTTATTTATTTAAAATTTGTTTTAATTTTTTCCTATTGTGAAAGTCGAGTGAATGACTCGCATGTAATATTGAACCTTATTGCGCATGTAATAGGATCTATTCAAATTGCATACCACGGTTGCACAAATATAACGATACATTGGTATTTTCGTTAATAAATAAGTTTATATTTATGTCGCTTATGAATTGTTCATAACTCGCAGCTCAATTCTTCAATTTCGCTTTATATCTGTTTGCGTTGTTTCGTTCATTTAATTTCACATTCACCCGCATTATATCGATATTGTTCGATCGATCGAAGCTTCTAGAAATATTATAGTTGTCGTTATACTATTTGACGAAACAATATTACCTGTCGAATATTATGTATGATGATTGTAGTGTTTGAATGTTAAGATTGTTAGTGTTGGTTACCGTAGTCTTTACACAAGAAAGTGAGCAGGGAAAGCACACTATTTAATCTGAATAATTATTGATAAGCAGCGATTTTATTTCTGTTCGTAATAGATATTTTATTTCCTTGCAGTACTCGCCGTATAATACGCTGGTTATTGTAAATTGTTTGAGTATTCGTTCGCATAGCTGTTTTATACAATACATGTCGGTTAAAGATCGTGCCCTACGTACCTATGATTAAGTTATACGTGGTGTATCGACACAGTGACTAACAACAACGCTTTAGAATACTCCCGCGTAAAATAATAGTTGTGAACATAGTTATTTTATATCTTTTTAGTTATAGTTATAGATATATTATCTGATTTTCTATGACATCACTCACTTTGATTTCGCTTTATGTATAGTTTATATTTCGCTCGCATATTTTTTTTGTAGATGTATGGTCGATACCTACATTCCGTATTGTCGCACTTATGTACCTACATACTACCGCTTATGAGTAGGTATATATAAATTTATTTGTCACGCGCTTTAATGTTTAAAACGTTATTGTGATTTACTTCTCGCACCGCATATTTAAAATATTGCTTTTATGCATTATTTTATTTTTCTCGCATATAGGTATATATAGATAATAGTTGTACCTATTTTTCGCATTATTAATTAGTAGTTTTATATCATAGTAAGCATATATTTTTTATGTATGCTAGTTTATATCGCGCATCATTTCTCGCATTTGTGTACTTATTTTCGCTACAAGTACATCTGTCTGTCTTGTAGGTATTTAGTACATTAAATACCTATTATACGTTATTATTGTTTATCGCTCGCCCTTTTACGGTAGTACAGGTATAGTTGTACGTTATTACCGCACATAGTTTTATATATCGCATTTATTGGTTTTCCTTTGTTATTTTTTAAGAAGTATATATATATAAATAATAATAATGGCTAACACAAACGCAAAATTAAAAATGTATGAATCAAAAAGTGCACAATATTTTTCGCAACTTCAGTCTATTTATGAATTATCTTCGAAAACTAAAATGGAGAAACATCGTAATGTTTTTATTGCAAAAGTTAGCCTGATCGATCAAATGCGCACCGAGTATGTTAAAATTGTCGATGAAATTATTCTCCTTAATTTGGAACTAAACCCTGATTATGTAGTTAATTATCAATCTCTCACCGCTTTTGACGAAATGTTTTATTCTATAAAGATGATGGCGGTCTCGTTACAACCTCAATCTTCGCGAACTCCAGCTCCCGCTTGTCAGTCTGCTTTACCAGACAACAAACAGGGATCAGTAAGGATCCCCCAAATTGTGTTACCAGTCTTCTCAGGTGATATTTTAGAATTTCCTTTCTTTTACGAAACATTCAAACAGGTTATTCATGACAATGAATCCTTTTCGGACTCAGAACGTTTTCATTATCTTATGAGTCACCTGTCAGGAAAGGCTAGAAATCTGTGTGCTGGCTTAGTACCAGCAGCCGAAAATTATCCTATATTGTGGCAAGCTTTAATCGACAAGTATCAAGATAAACGCTCTCTTGCAACGTCATATTTAGATAAATTATTTTCTTTAAAATCAATTAACGGTCCTTCGGCAATAAACTTAGAAAAATTTATTGATACTTTCTCGTCGACTATCGCAGCATTAAAGCAACTTAAAATTGAAAAGCTGGATGATTTTATATTTATTTATATGGGATTAAAGGCATTAGATCAGGCTACCGCGCAGTCGTATGAGTCATCAATTAGAGGAGAAGATGACATACCGCAGTTTGAAAATTTTATAAAATTTATACGTCAACACGTAAAAATATTACAACGCACGTGTAACCGCACCGCCGGCGCCGCTGCCGCCACCAAGTTGGACGGTCCCGCCACCGCGTCCGCCAGTGGTCGTGCACAGTCGCATCAACGATCGATCGCTCGATCGCCACGTACATTTTTAGGTACTAATCCTACGCAACGCATTTATTGTTCCTTATGTAAAGGTGATTCACATTCTCAATTATATAAATGTAAACAATTTTCAACTTTCACAATTAATGATCGATTTAATTATATTAAAACTAACCGTATGTGTACTAGATGTCTAAGTAGTCAACATAACTCTTTCAGTTGTCAATCAACTTCCGCCTGTCGAAATTGTAACAATCCGAGACATCATACGTTGCTTTGTTTTAAAAATAATAATTCCGCACCTACGCAAGTATCTCAGGATACGAAAAACGCACAGACATCTTCTACGCACGGTCGCCAATTACCACCATCTTCTTCGTCGCAATTGCCTCCGCTTGCGCACACACAACCCACACATCAGACACGATTAGAACCAACTCCCGTTCCTATTGGAACCACCACTGGTGGAGACAAGGAGTCGTTATGCACGCTTTCATCGTCCATTCATGAGCAGCCGTATGTGACTGAAGTACTTGCTACTGCCAAGGTATTTGCTAAATGGGAGTGATGTTGTCATTCGCTGCTTATTGGACCCCGGGTCACAAAAGCATTATATTACTTCTAAGTGTTGTTTAAAATTGGGTTTAACCATGCAGCCGGACGCACATACCACCGTTAAGGGTATAGGTGGCGCCACTGAACCAGTTAAGGGTGCAGTTGATCTCTCTTTCCGATCGAGATTTAATCATGAGCAATATTATAATATTCGCGCTTTAGTTTTGAATAAAATAACAGGTAACTTACCAACATGTCAAATTGATGTTGGCGCGCTCAGTTACTTAACTAATATTCCGCTCGCAGATGATACGAACACCATCAGAAATTGACCTTTTGATTGGTGTCAATCTATTCGCGACCCTTTTGTCTGGAGGTAAAATTATAAATTCACCTGGTACTCCAAACGCGTTGGAGACTGTTCTCGGTTATCTTATTTTAGGTGAAGCTCCCACCTTAACTTCTACGTCTTCTTCATTCTCGTTCTGTTCCACCACTTCGTGCGAGGTTTCAGTATTAATTCGCAAATTTTGGGAGATTGAAGAAGTAGATCGCAAACCAATAACAAGTATAGACGATAAATACTGTGAAGATTTTTATACCACAACGACCACTCGTAACGAATCAGGTCACTCATTTATATTAAATAGTACTACGAAGTCGCTTTACCATTTAAGTATAGTTCTAAGTCTTTAGGGAACTCTTTCGATATCGCTAAACGCAGATTTTATCATTTGGAACGTAAATTCGCATCGCAACCGCAACTGAAATACCTTTATGATGAGGTAATTCACGAATATATAGGAAAACAATATATTTCTCCCGTAGACGTAATTGAAAATAACAGCCCTAGTTATTTTATACCGCATCACGCAGTCTTACGTGAGGACAAAGTGTCCACGAAAATAAGGCCGGTACTAGACGCAAGCGCGAAGTCTAGTACTGGATTTTCGCTTAATGATATTCTACATACAGGTCCTTCCTTACAACAGGATTTATTTATTATTCTCTTGAATATGAGATTGTTCGCAGTCGCCATCTCAGCTGATGTGCGACAAATGTATTTACGAATAAAAGTTCGCCCGCAAGATCGTTGTTTTCAACGTATTGTATATAGATTTAGTCCTAATAAACCGCTCCAAGTCTTTGAATTTAATAAAGTTGCATTTGGCTTACGTTGCAGCCCGTACTTAGCGTTACGTACTGTAGCTCAGTTAGCTTCCGATGAAGGAAATAAATTTCCAATCGCGCATGAAATTGTAAAGAGAGACATATATGTTGATGATGTTGTTAGTTCAGTTAAGAATAGTAAAGATGCCTCGCAGGCAGCATCAGAGCTCACCGCTTTATTTTTGACTGGTGGATTTGAACTGGCAAAATGGACTAGCAATTGTAAAAAGGTCTTATTCCAGAAAGTAATCGTTTTTCGCAAAATCTGGAATTCGATAAGGATGAAACGCTTAAAATTTTAGGTTTATGTTGGTTTCCATCAGATGATGTTTTCGCATTTAAAGTTACTCCCATTAATCGTCCATGCACCGAACGCAATATTTTATCATCAGTCGCACGACTTTTCGATGTTTTAGGTTTAGTCGCGCCTATAATATTATATGCAAAGCTTTTAATTAAACAACTTTGGATTTTAAAACTCGATTGGGACGAAACGCCCCCGCAAAAAATTGTTCGCACGTGGAATCAATTCCAATCTGAATTACCACTCATTTCTAACATTAAATTTATTCGTCATATAGGTGTTATTGATAATTGCAAATTAAACATTCTCGGATTTGCTGATGCATCCGAACGCGCATATGGTGCTTGTGTATACGCGTATATTGAACTGCCAGATGGTACTTCAAATATTACACTTTTATGTGCCAAGTCAAAGGTAGCACCATTAAAGGTAATTGCTTTGGCACGATTGGAATTGTGTGCCGCTGTAATTCTTTCTAAATTAATCAAAATTATTTATCAAGTTTATTCGCCAAGATACCCCATAGAATCGGTATTCGCATTTTCGGATTCTACGGTCGCATTAAATTGGATACACTCGTCGCCACACAAATGGCATACGTTTGTTGCGAATCGAGTATCGCAAATTCATGAAAACATGGAACCAACGCATTTTTATCACATTAAGGGCACGGACAATCCCAGTGACTGCCTGTCTCGGGGACTGAGTCCTGCTCAACTCGCAACGCACCCCCTTTGGTTAAATGGTCCACCATGGATTTGTAAACCAAAGGGACAATGGCCAATTAAGCCATTTCTTGCTGCGGATTCATCGGACATTCCAGAATTAAAACCTATCGCACTGGTTACCATTGAAGATTCTATGGAACCTTATTTATATTCGCTCGCTCGCAAATTTTCGTCATGGATGAAATTACTTCGTGTAATTTGTTATATTTATAAGTTCGCTAACATTCTTCCACGCGGCGTCATATCCAGTTCCGATTTGGATTTCGCCGAACGTATAATTATTCGCGCTGTGCAGGGGTTTCATTTTAAAAACGATATTAGCAAGTTAAATAATAAAAAGCCTTGTACCGCATCAATAATTAAATTAAATCCATTTTTATCAGACAATCTCTTAAGAGTTGGTGGTCGTCTGACTCATTCTGATGAAGATTTCGATTATAAACACCCTATATTACTTCCGGGCAGAGATCATATAGTTCAATTAATTGTAACACACTTTCATCGTAAAAACCTGCATACAGGCCCAGAATTGTTAATGTCAATACTACGTACTAAATATTGGATTCTCGCAGCTCGACGTATGATTCGCACGATCGTAGCTAATTGTAATATTTGTTTCCGCAATAAACCGCGTCCTACATTCCCACCGATGGGTGATCTGCCTGCACTAAGGGTGAAGGAAGTTCCTAAAGCCTTTGTCCATTGTGGCTGTGATTTCGCAGGTCCGTTTTTTGTAACCCCTTATCGCGGTCGTGGTATAACCACTCGCAAAGCATACGTTTGCTTATTCACGTGCTTAACCACTCGGGCTGTTCATATTGAGCTCGCAAGTGAATTGAGTACAGTTTGTTTTCTCGCCGCGTTAAAACGTTTTCTCGCTCGCCGCGGTCCTATTCAATGCATGTATACGGATCATGGTACTAATTTTATAGGGGCACGATCCTACCTACGTGAACTTTATTTGTTTTTATCGCAAGAATGTAGATCTGTTTGGGATAAGGAATTAGCTAACAATGGAATTAAATGGATCCTTATCCCTCCTAACGCACCGCATTTTGGAGGATGCTGGGAAAGTAATATAAAATGTGTCAAAAGCCATCTAAGTAAAGTCATTGGGCTACAAATTTTAACCTTTGAAGAACTTACGACTGTTCTTACACAAATAGAATCGCTATTAAACTCTCGCCCATTGACCGTCTTAAGTTCAGATCCGTCGGACCTGGAAGCATTGACACCTGCTCATTTTCTTAACACTATACCGCTAAAACACTTCCCAGCACACGACGTAAGTGACGCTATTCCTCATCTTTTGAAACGACACGAGCTTTTAGACCAACTCGTTCAATCGTTTTGGAAGAGGTGGCATCGGGAATATTTGCATACGTTGCAATTGAGACGCAAATGGAACACGCCGGCCTTTCCTATCCAGGAAGGCACGATAGTAGTTGTTATGCAGGAGAATTTAACTCCATTACATTGGCCTCTTGGTCTTATAACACGAGTTTATAAGGGTAAGGACGGCATTATTCGCGTTGCCTCAGTCAAAACAAAGGCTGGTATTTTTCAAAGGCCAGTGGTAAAATTATGTCCATTGCCTTTGCAATAATATGTATTCTATAAGATAGGTAGTACGCATTTATAATAGGTTAATAAGTTAAGTTAAAATCCTTTGCATTTTTCTTATTTAGTAAATTCCGCATTTGATATTTTTTGTATTTTTTCTTTCTTGTTTTTTGTATTTGTCGCATTCGCAATAAGGTTCAATTGTGTAGTTCCTTTATTTTTTTTTCTTTTGTTAATTTTACTTTGACATTATGTCAAGGCGGGGGGCATGGTTACGCCAAACGCGATGCGTACCTGGTTTGTTGATGTGCATTGACACCCCTCCCGGCTAATTCAATAATCAGTGATGTCATAGCTTTCGCCGCGCGCGCACGTCGCACTCATATCGCACGCATGTCTTAATAGTTGTAATCAACCTGAGTGAATTCCTGAGATTCCCGTAACCGTGTGGGCCCACTGAAGAACAAGCACATTGAAGTAAGGGTAAGTCATTCATATTTGACCAGCCAGTTTCCTATACAACAATATAGTCCATCGAAGAAGGCTAGATCATAGCCACCGCCGCACCAATAGTATAGAAATATAATAGAAAATTCTTTATTCAAATACATTTAAATTTAAGCATTTTCCAATAGTCTTACATATTTTTTTAATCTACCACTCATTATGAAAGCTGTCTCATCACAAGTAGAACGTGCAAGAAACTTGTGTGTTGCTTCCTTATATAATTGTTGTAACTTTACATTTCAAGTTAAAATGTGTGAATACAAACTGCAACTAGCACTAATTCATTAGAGTTAAAATATGAAGTATACAAGTGACAGATGGAGTAACTAAGTAAGAGTATGATTAGAGTAGAACAGTCCGTTGTGGCTTCAAACTCTTCTTTTTTTATGTAACAATAGCAAACAAGCTGGTGGCCAGAATGATATAGCTGATAATAGTGATAAAAAATGAGTTGATATAGGGCAGTGAACCTACACGGATGCAAGTCTTCGTTTTCTATCATTTTTTTATTCGTCCTCTAGAATAATAACGCATGAATGCTATACCTTGGGCGACATGTGATAACACCTTTTTTATATCATGATACATATTAGCGTGGTGTTATTCATGTATATAGGCGATAATTGCAACTTACCACCAGATAGGCGGTCAGCTTATACCATTTCAGTTATAACTAATTCTCTGCTGTGATTTTTTTATTGCATTTGAATGTGAATATTTTTTTTATCCTCTTTTTGTTATAATTTATTTTGTTGAGGACTTCTATACTGTGCTGGATTGCAGTTACATAAAAGAAATATTTAAAAATGGAATTAACTGTATTTTTACAGCTGGGTGCATTCTGCCTGTCCAACATGGGCTTCATATTTCCAGCCATTATTGAAGTGTTGGTTATATGGGAAGATCCAGGTCTGGGAAGGTACAAATGGCGACTGTGGAAGAATGTATTAGTTTTAATTATAGGCGTATTATTATTTGTAGCTGGTACATATTCTAATCTTAAAGGATTGGTTAGCAATTTGTAAATACATATTGAAATTACTTTGTTATTTTTTTTCATCATCATCACCAATTCAATTTACACCGCTTTTATCTATAATAATATTATAAATACGAAAGTATAAAGTAGATAGATAGATATCGTCTCTCTATTGTATGTTACCTTTTGACAATTAAACGTCTGAACGTATCGTAAGGAAATTTGGTGTGAAGATAGATCGTGTCACGAGGATGGACTATATTTACAGATAGGCTAGCATTTATAACTTTATTAAAAAATAGAAAAGTGTAGTATTAAAATCCTTTTTAAACCAGACAAGATATCTATCACCTGAATAACAGCTTCAGCGACCTTACTTTACTAAAGTATTAAGTAATAAGCACAAGTAATAAGTACATTACTGATTAGAAATATTATAATTGTGTGTAAGACATTAATTCTGAAAAAGCCATGTAAATACCGTCCCTTACATAAACTCTGCCTGAATTTGACTCGTCTAGGTTTGTCCAAAATATAAGTAAAATGTCCCAATAAAGGCCATGTTAGACTAACAAAAGACACCAATCTATAAAAAAAATATTAATTGGAAAAGATTCATTTCTAAAAGAAGTGTTATCGTAGGTATATCATAGAGTAATCTTAGAAATTCAACTGTTGACGTCGTGGTTACCAAAGATCCTCAAGTAGTCAGGAGGGTTGGGAAGGTATTGGCAATGATGTTGCTCTATAAAATAGACCATAAAAAGTAAGTATGCAGAAGTAGCTTTATAATATAGATAATTAATTAATATAGATATAAATTAAACATATACAACAATTACATATGCTTTAGACTAAGCAATGATGCTATAAAAACACGGTACGATGGTAACAGATCATTAGAACTATAAAGGCATTAGGCCCACTGTCAAACATACTAAACAACCGTAAATATTAATCACCATAAAAATCAGAGTGAACGTAATATGGAATCTTAACGCGTGACAGTTTGAAACAGAATGTTCTAATTGATTTCACGCCGAACCAATCTCAAACGAGTCCTTTTAGATGCGTTTAGTTCTATTACCTATATGATTGTGGAAACACAAATCAGTCAACAATTATGCTGTGTAACTATTAACCATGAACAAGTCGATTTACCTTATTCTTGCTCTGTTGGGCGTTGCAAAGTTCGTTAAGTGTGATGTAAGTGAGTGTATAGTGTATTCTATTGTAGTTTACATTTTGAATACATATTACGTTTATCTTCTAAATAATTTCGTTTTGAATTATAACGAATTATAACAAAAAAAAAAATGTGTACACTAATTTGTATCATAATTATATTTTGTTGTAAACTATTTCTAACTATAAAACAACTATAAATGTTAATCAATTAAATTAGTTATTTATTGTATGGTTATGATTATATTAATTCACAGGAAGTAGAACGACGAACTAGTCAAGAACAAATTGATGAGTTGATTGAAACAGATTCAGGAAGTACAGTGTCCCTAGAAGCTACTACAGATATTTTAAATAAAAGTGAGCTTCTAGAAAGAAGTGATAATAACAATAATGCATCGCGCACAGAAAGATCAACAGTAAATGATGATGGAACTGAAGCTATCGATAAATCAACAAAAAAGGAACTTGATAAAACTTCTCAAAGTGCTAGTAAGGATAGTGAACTTGCTGAATCAAAAAGTGGTGACGTAGTTGACTTAGACAATCAAGAAAATAAAGATGGTAGTGAGATGGAATCAAAAAGTAATGAAAATCGGGATAATGACCGATCAGATAATGATCCAGGCTCTAAAGAATATGTTGCTAAAATTACCCATAATCCTGATAGTGAATCTAAATTAGATGATAGTTCAAATAATACACAAAGATCTGATGAACTAATAGATGATCCAGATAAAAGTGATTCACATTTAAATAGTCGTACTTCAAATAATCATTCTTCAGATGAAAATATAGACATAGCTGTTGAAAGTTTGGGAAGAACTTCTTCGAAAAATGATGCAAAACTAGACAAATCTGATTCCAATTTATTAAATATTGGACAGACTAGAAGAATGTTAAGCCCTGTTCTAGAGGAAACTGCTAATGCTCTAAAAACTTTAGCAAGTGTAACACAATATGTGAAAGCTGGGGCCCAGCCTGATTATGTCTCAAGGACTATGAGTAATATTAATGACTTTGGTATGAATATGTATTTATTTATTTTATTTATATATCAGGTTAAGAAGTAAGTTTACTTAAACTTTGAAGAATTCATATATCTTTCAATGAAGTATAATTTTAAGTTTAGTACTTTAAATTGAAAAAATATATTTGACATAAGTTGAATAAAATTAAAATTTTTGTTTCAGATAGTCGCCGAAGCTATGCAGCTGAATTAGACACTTCGAATGCTTATCGAACACTATTAAGGTCTGATCCGTTTAGTCATGCCCTTCAAAATTATCGTAATCCCGGTACATTGGTTACTCCAATTGTAACGAAAATTGCTAAGAAAAATATGTATAGTGCTCATGATGCTAATTCAAGAAAACTATTTGAGAAACCTTTAAGAAGAGCTACCGATCTAAGCAAAGATGATAGTTTATTCGAAAGTTCCTTTGGAAGTAATGAGTTATACAATAATGCTTATCCTTTTGCACCTAGTGAAGCTAAAAGCGGGAGAGTACCTAAGCCACAGTTCCCTTTTAATGCTCCAAACACAAATATATTTAAACCTTATACTAAACATCAAATTCCTCACTACCCGGAAATTTATAAACCATATAATCCTAGCTACTTAAATGTTGGTTACGGTCAGTACGGCGTTACCAGATTTCGTTGATCTGTAACATCAATTAAATAGTAATTTAACATTATAATTGTAATAAATATTTTAATAAACATATTGTGATTTATTTTACTTCTCAAAATCAATGCCCTACATCTTAATTTGATCTTTAGACATTCGGCAAGTCCACATTTCGTACAGCATTTATTTTATTTAATTGGTATAGCAAACTAGTAAATGGTAACCGTCATCTTATATGAACAGCGTTACGGACATCTTTATTATATCACGCTCGTTATACCACTCATGAATAACTATATACTAATCCTCTGGTACAGTTACTTTAGTCTTTAATACTAATACACTCATTACCCAATCTACATACTTTAGATAATTATTATTAAGTGACAACCGTAGCATAAGTTCTTTCTACCGGTACAGAGTTTGGTGCAATCACGAACGTAAAGCAAATTTTTTTTTTTTATTAAATTTATTTGTTTGTCGACTGTTTTTTATTGTCCTATTTTTTTTTGTATTATAAATATATTATGTAGTACTTCAGCCGCGATTTGATACGGCCAAAGTTTTAATTGTATAATGTGTTCCTCTGGAGGGGATGTTAAATTATCGAAATAAATACATATATATTATAGTTATATACATACGTAAATGAATAAATATATATTTCTATTTGTATATTTTGCAAATTATTATGTTTTGTTGATCTTTTTGAGGTTATTTACAATATGTTTAGCGAATAAATTATACGAGTTCAGATTTACTTTTTTGCGATGAGATCATAGGGAGCGCTGATACCAAATATTCGGCACGTTTGTTCGTGATCGTGTCGAGCTTTGCTAAAAATGGGACATTCGTTAAACAGATGCTCAAATGTTTGCTCACTGAATCCGTCACAGGGGCAATTCGCATTGTCTACGATGTGGAAACGCTTAAGGTATGTCTTATTGTATCCGTGTCCTGTTAATACTTGTGTAAGATGGAAAGACTGCTCAATCTCAAAGAGAAGGTCTCGTAAAGTAAAGCTAATTGGTATGTACTTAATAATTATAATCTATAATAGATAGATATCCTTCGATACAGAGAACAAAATTAGTCTTCCCGTCTCAGGGAAAGGCAAAAGCACGTAGGCGATACAGCCATTGTGTTCGGTAGTTACGGCTTTAGATAGCTTAGTATACTTTCTTATACCGTCACAGTCACTTTGACATTGACAGCACCGGTTAGCCTCAAAAATAGAATAATATTCCTTGAGTAGTATATTCTTTGATTCCCAATTTCCCAGTGACGGATAAAACCAAAACAAAAAGAATTTATTTAACAAAATATACGTTTAAAAGTAGACTAGGCTGTATTTCTTTGCCTGTTCCATCACAAAATATATAAAAAAAAAATTAACAAAATATATAATTAAAAGCATAAATTACACGGAAATTTCTATTGGACATTTTAAATAGTTTTATTTTACCCAATTTAATAGTTACATATACGGTGTAAGCCAGAACTATATAAGGGAGATGCAATTAACTACTTCTATTGGATCTTTATTGTCACTTTATTAATTACTAAATTAGATTTTGCACGTTATATTAATAATGGGCAAGAGATATCATTGTAATTATTGCGACAAATCCATGGTAGCCACTCCAACCATCGTGAAAACACATAACAAAGGAGTTGTTCATCAGAAATTAGTACAGGAACACTATCAACAATTTAAAGGTAATACTTTTCCTTTAATACTTTTTTACCAAGGTAGACATTGTATAAAAACGCCTACATGTATACCTCTGTATCACCTATTTATGCCTCACAACAGCTTGTTTCATAAGCTATACAGTGATTGAAATACTTTTAACAAAAACTACAAAATAAAAAACACTGCCTGTGACTTCCATTTTAAACAGTGTCCTGATGAAGAAAGATTAATATGGGAATTATAATGAATGGAAGCACTGGTACTGTTCATGTATATTATATATAGTCACTATTCTCCATAAAATGGCTTCAACATGCTATTCTACATATAAAAAGTATTGGGATTGGAATTCTAATGATTATTATGATACCAATCAATATATCTTCAGGCAATATTTATTAACACCACAACTTACCATTCTGTCTGTTATTCCCTACTGGGGTAGTCAGAGTAATTGTAAAATTGAAATACTGTGGTGAACTACTGATATGCCTATATTTTGCTGAGGTATTTGAATCCAATATGCAAAGGGGCGACCCTACCTTCTGATTTGTTTCAGTTTTAGTTTAATTTTGTTTTTCTTTCATTGGAGAGTCAGTGAATAAATTGATACACTTTTTTTATGTTGGTCACATTCAAACTAATTGTATCTTGTATATAAATCGATGTAGTAGGCCACAACACACATTTATTAATCATACAAAATCAATCAATTTCAGATCCTGAAACTATATTAGCTGAAGAAAGTACTAAGAAACCATGTCTTAGGTTTGCCAAAGGAGAATGTCAATTTGGAGGTATATGCAGATACTCCCATTATAGTAAGGAACAAATTGAATCATTGAGAGAATATGGTAAGTCATCATTATAATAATGCTTTGTTATCTCATTACTCAGCATAGTAAGAGAAGAGGCTACTATTATTTTTTATTGAATGGAATGGTACTTCCACTGACTGGAGACCAGTGGAGGATGATAAAATGAGCATGAGGTCAGATGATAATTCATCTGACCTCGTGCTCATTTTATCATTTTATCATGGGCTAATGCCCATCGGGTAAATTCACTAGCAATTCCTCATAATGATTATCAGGCTGCATAGAAGGCAATTGGACATGGTACATTTCTAACAATGGGATCACTAGTCCACAGTACTAGAAATTCCCTTTCTCCTAGAGCCTACTATTACAGTTAACTGTGTATAAAGTCATCTATACATGAGCACTTCTCTCTCACCTATTTCAGCTGGCAGCTTGCTTTCTAATTCTATGTTTTGAATGGTAACATATAGCAGAGAATCTAAATGGTAATGCCTAAGGGATACCACTCATGTCATATGGCAATCATTGTTACCTACAATCAGATGGACTGTGGCAGTAAAATTATTTATATCCTATACCCTGTATATCAGTTTCCAGTGAAAAATACAATCATTTTATAAACATCACAATTACGTAATAACTATAAATTTATACCACAACTTTTTTAAAGTAACTATTAAATGATTTACTAAAAAAAAATATATTTAATCTTCTATTACAATTTTTATGGCAATATCTGAACCATAAAACTTATTTTAATTACAGTTGCTGCGAAGGAGAGAAATAAAACACAAATAAACCAGCCCTCTTTTGAAGATCTATACCAAAGACTGCAGAATGAGAGAACAAACCAACCTCAATCTGAAGAAGGAAACACAATACTCTATGATCAAAATGGAGTTACACATGTATTGCCGTGGACTTATAATAATGTTTTGGACACTTATGGAGATAACTTGCCTCCAAGTCTTCAAAGATTTAGGATAGAAGACTTTGCTAATGCTAGTATTACTGAGTGGGGATGAATACAACAGATATTATATACTCTTTTAAATTTGGCGCGGGCATTATTTATACATATAATTAGTGCAAATCACAGATTCTTACCACTTTTTATTTTTATTGAGTTCCCGATATTTCGGCAGTATTTCAACCGCCATGATCATGGGTAGATATCGGGAACTCAATAAAAATAAAATGTAAGATCTCATGATTTTTACTAATTATATGTAAAAACAGATATTATTGACCCTTTTTAGTTAAAAACTCACATCTGTTAATAGAAAACATTATAACTAGAATTTTATATTAAGAAAAAGTGTCATTTTTGTCTTTTATTGTACATTGGAATTTTGCCTTTGACATGTTATGAGCCTTTTTAGCCGTTTACCTTTAACCAAATATATACATATTTTACTTTTATAATACACTTTATTTATTTACACTGCTAATTAAACTCCTACAGAATTATAGTAAGTTCCTATTAGGTTAATATCTAATTATAATAATACAATTATTAATAAAAAAACTGTTGTAAATGACTGACTTAATAATTAAATCCTTGGCTTAAGGATTTAATAAAATAGGACTTGAAATTGGGCTAATACTTAAATATACTTATTTAACTTTACAAATTAAAATTAGTCATAAGTAGTTCATCATTCATTAAGAAATTTGGGGTGCTATATGCACAGAGATCCCAAATTTCTTAAATTACATTTTGTATGATTACCATTGATTTATTACCACTCTGTTAAATACATTCTATTTTTTATACTACTATACATTTGTGATATAATCTTATATTGATTTTCGAATTATTACAATCTTCTTGTCCATTTAAATAGGTAAATTTTAGATGGGACAGTTATAGATGGTCTTGTTGGCTGGTACAGTAATAGTGGATAGTTTATAAATCTGAATTGGGGTGATACCTCGTAGCGCGATGTTTGTATCTGAAAATAAAACTTCTTATCTACTGATGTTTATGATGCATTCTAGTCAGGTAATTTAGGAAGGTATTGGGTGCTCTTCAATTAATTTTATATTGTACTAATAACTATAGAACCCAGTTTATAATTGAATTTAGAGTTTAGAATTGAAGTTGATGAATTAATAGAACATGTGATTGTGATGTAGAATCTGTCATCGGAATGGTTCAACGGTCACCATCCACCAGCGCGTTCCCGTCCTTCATTTACAGTTACCGCGGCGGTTCAATTTATTAAAGTTGACATCGGCGCATAGACAAATGGAAAGGGAACAAGTTATACATCTGCGTGGATACCTCAGTCCCACTTATTTTAGCCGCCAAGCTTGCTTAATAATGTGTGGTTGGGTTGAAGAGTGAGATGAGGCAGAGAAATCTGTAGTCTGGAGACATGACTATTGTCATTTGACGTTATATCTATGGTGGAGTTCACATACATATGGTTTATATTTACCTTAAGATGGTCCGTCTTTTTCTATGGCATTCAAGTTATATGAAATTTATATATGTTAAGCAGTTTACCTTAGCTTCGCGAACAGGAATTTATTATCGTTTGTTACTATTGTAATTTCAAGATTTTTATTAGTCGATGCCTACATTGGAGTAGTGCATTTTTTTAATACTAGCAGTATCTAACGGTGATATCCGAGTGGAATACAGCTTATGTTACTTGCAAATAATTTGGTTATCGGTAGATGCAAGAATTTTTGAATTGAAGTATCTTTTATGTATACCGTAACAAACAAATATGCATATAATATCATATTCAGTCACTTAGCAGTGGCTCAGCATTCAAATCATAAATTAATATATAAATAACTAATACCTATATTACCTTATTTATACACAAGTTCGAAATTAAAAATATTATTGTGACTGCTAACATGTTCACAGTAAATCCAAATATTTGAATTCACTTACATGTTGTAACAAGTTAAGCAATCCATAAACTGTAACCTGTTTTCTATATTCTAAATTGCTCTGCTTTATCACCGATATAAATATTTTATATAACAACGAGCGACCCGCCCCGGCTTCGCTCGGATGTAGTGTATAGGTATATATAATGGAAGTCGTATAACTATATGGCATTATAATAGGAGGTAAATAATATATGCGTATAGAGGAAAAGAGGTTGTTATTATTGTGGACTAATCAATTTGCTAGCGATTTATCATGACAGGTCGACCTCCATGCGATCCGCCTGAAAACCATTGCGGTAGATTTCTGGTGAATTCGCCATGATGGACTAAGTGACCTGACATTTCCTGATTCCTCGTCTCCTCCCACGCCCAGTAAACAAACAGACAGAGACACGTTCGCATTTATTTTGAACATATGCATATATGTTGGTAATTGCAAATCAGTTACTTGACAGTTTTTTTCCATTTAAAAACACGTGCACTTAATAGGCGTAAAAAAACGAGGCAAATTTTAATATGAATATTCTTTCATTTCATTTAGGAATTATTATCGTAAGTCTATAAATTACATCGAATATGAATCAGTCACGTCTCCGGTCTGATTTTGATTTTATGGTCGAGTATGAAATATTATGTGTTTTATTATCGCCTTACTGTCTAAACTAAGTTTTTTTTATATATAAAATATTGTAACACCTACAAATTGCGACATTACCAGCGAGTAAGATATATTTCTTTAATGGGTTGTTTCGGCTAGTGCTACAATAGTGTCAGGTGCTTGGACCTGAAGCACTGCGACCTACATAGATCTATTGTGCTTGCCCGTTCGCCAGAGATGCTACGATGCAGCGATGGTTCTCCTCAGGATATAGATATATAAAGTTTCCAAATAGATATATTACATTTATGCATGAGTGGGCAGCGAGTACCATATGTTATACTTATTATTACATGATAAGAGGCATGACATCTTAGTCCTCCAGAATAGCAACGCATAATTGGTACCGCAAGGGTCGCATTTTACCATCATATCCGTAGTGTTATTCATGTGTATAGGCGACGGTTATCACTTATCATCAGACTGGTCGTTAGGCTGGGCATCAGCTTGTTTGACATTACAATATGTAATTATTATGTTTTTAAATATAAATAGTCATTTTTCGAACTATTCTAAAGTTGAATATGTAGCTAACCTGTACAGCTTCGTCTGATGTAGAGATAGTTGAACATGTACAAAATGGGACGGTTGACCAGTAATATAAAAGTATTTTTGCTTGTTTATATTTACGTAGTAGTAGCATATGTCTATGTCATATTATATCACCATTGATTCGTCACTGAAATACTACTTAGTAATTTTAAATCGCGTTAAAATGTAATTTATAATTTTAAAGTAGAAATAAAGAGTAGATTATTTAAATTCCAGATTCAATGGTCATAGAACAATATTTTTATTCCAGACTGTGTTATTCTCGTCTAAAATACATGGAAAACATATGAATAATATAAAAGGAGACAATTCAGTGTATCCGTCTTCAACATATATCATTTTAATTCGTGAAAAACCGAACAATAATGATTTATATGATACAAATAAAGAAATGTATACAAAAAGTGATACAGATTTGAGTATAGATAACCTACATGAATTAAACAGTAAAGGTATACTAAGGCTTGACAAGATGAATGAGCGGAAAGAAAGAAAGAAAGCCAAACTAGGAAAAGCACAACATGAACGCAAAATGAAAGAGATAACAGAGTTCATGAAACACCATTTCCTAACTACCAACTATTTATACGATGAAATGAAAAGAATAATACGCACACGGCAAGTAAAAGACGATTTGAGACACATGGTTGATTATCTCGAAATTCCAGAAAATAACAACGTCAAAGATAGGGTGCTGAAATGTTATGAACATTTTAAAAGAATAGACATAAAACCAATAGACCCTTGGAGGCATAAAACTAATAATTTAGTAATTAATGATCTGAGAGATCCATATAATTATGGCTATATCAATTAGGTATGTAATTCGTAACGCAAATAGATTTCATACGGTGGTGGTTTAGGGGTTTAGCGTACAGACATACTTCCAATGATCGCGGGTTCGATTCCTCGCACGGTGCGAAAATTCATGAGTATGATTGTTTGTAATGTTCTAGATGTTTTCTGTGTATATTAAAGTATTTCTATCAGTTATCTAGTACCCATATTAAATGCGCTACCTAACTAAAGACTAGATGGCGCAGAGTAAGTTGTTCCAAGTCATTCTTATAATATTTAAAAAAAAACATTATAATATGCGGTCACGACTATGAATACCAAAAGGAGTAGATAGGGGCATTGTTAAATATTAAAGTAAGGTGAACATAGCACTCAACGGATACAAATACTTATAGGAACCTATGGTCACTTATTCTGTCTGTGTCACTGACTATTTATCAAAGATCTGAAAAACTGGTAATAATAAAATAATACTTGAATAAACGATATTGAAGTTTATTTATCTTTATTACTTTTCGTTAATCACATAAAGAAGTTTTGGTGAATACTGTTTGAGAACAGATACCAGCTGATAAAGTTTAGATCCTGGCATTATTTTCGCTTTGACCGACTTCTGAAATTGTAAAATATCAATGTTATAGAAATATTATCCCAACAATATAATTTTAATTCGGGTGGAGTTTTTCTATATATATGTATTACAAAAAAATATCTAAGTATTCATGTTTGTCATCTACTACCATAAGTATCCATATCACAAGCCCCGCATAACTTTGGACTAGATAGTGCTGTGTGATTGTTTAGGGATGTTATTAATATTATAATGATTTCAATTCTCACTGACTGAGGTAGACTTTATATACGTCTACCGCGTGGCTATATCTTTATCACCTATATTAACAGCCAAGCTAGCTGTGTTTTATATAAATGCTGAGAAAATGTAGTGAAATTACAGGATATAGAGGAACGAAATCTTAGTCCTCTAGGTCGCTTGAATCGTACTACGGGCGTCATATGATTTGATGTCTGTTGCACTGTACGAGTATCTATATGTTATACGACGATTAGCATTAACCGTCCGGACGACATGTTTGCCATACATAATAAAACAAAAAAATTACCAAATGTTAATACCTAATATAAACGTTAAACTGAGTTTATTTATTTATCACGCTTTTATGCCTTAAATACATAAACAATTGTCTCAAAATTTGGCACATTCGTAAGTAAAGCATGAAGAAGTAAAAAAATTTTTTTTTATTACGGTTAAACGGTTTGACCTGATCTAATGGACGAAATCGCATGTATAAGTATGTAATATTATCTTATCTGTGGTATAAGCTGATCGAAATAATATTTGAAGAAGAATAAAGCTTGCACTATCTAGGCACAACTGAAATGAATTTATATATAAAACCATAATATCACAAAATATATTTGAAACTCATTCTAGATAACGTTATATAAAGTCACGTTTCAAGCTAGCGTACGTGACTACGACTTATGTACATTTTGTTTGTTGAATTAGTAGATTATTGTAATGGACTTACCAATTTTAAAGGTAAATCAGATGTATCCTTTCCCTGCAGTTTAAAAAGTTTGTATTTATATACATACAAATAAAAATTATTCACATACCATTAAATTTCATTCACACAAAAAAAGCAATCGTAATTGTCTTGGGTTGTAATCATTTTTGCCTGATTATTTTTTCCTGTCTTGTAGGCAATATTTTAGGCAAGATTTTTATAAAAGAACGTACCACAGCTGTATGTTTTCCTCTATAGTTTCTCAATAATTCTTTCGGATTTACATCTTCCACCCAAACTGCATTCCAGTAATTCTAAAATTTAACGTTTTTTAAATCGCTTGATCGGATTGATGGTAACTTAAAAATTATATAATAATCAGCTACTATAATTTTTCAGAGATTCAATAGATAATTCAATAAGATCTGATAGTTTCAAATCGTATTAGGTACCTACATGAATTCTTCACCAAAACAGAACTGATTTTTATTAGGTACTCTTTTTGCATACGATTGGATTTAACGATTGTTGTTTATCATGGAATAACTATTTTAGTTATAGAATAATACTTCCTAATTAAATATAATTAAATTCTATTGTTTATAACGGAATTGTTCATAATCCGTTATACTCGTGAACGAATGCTGCTTGTGGGGATTGGTCTATTCGGGCTACGAACACTGATTAGACTATTTGCTTTTGACAAAATTGCTATAGATCACTGTATTCTCACATATTTTAATTAAAAATGAATCTGTATTATTGTAAACATTTACAACCATATTTGAAAAGAATACGAGCTGAGTTTCTTGTCACTTCTTTTATATCGAAAGCATTCCGAACTGATGGTAGATTTGACATATCATAAGAGTCTGTAATAGACCTACATGAATGAAGATATTTTGATTTCATTGATTTGATTTGAATCTGAAATCATGTTTTTTGATAACGTAATAAAATATCTTACACCAGTTCTAAGTATTTCCTTCTTGATCAATTCGTCCGTTGGATTGATAGGTTTAGCTGCCTCCAATTGTGCTGACTCCTTAGCTACAGCCAGAACTACATCTGGTGATGCCTGGAGATGAACAACTTTATTTAAGAAATCAAAAACCTATTAACCTGAGTTATTTGTATTTTTTAAAAGAGAAAGATTAGATTAATAGCTTAATTACTAAGTTTGATGTTTAACACATTTATTTATTAAAACTGTAATGTACAAATACACAAATTGGGGGAAGCGTATTGTTACTAATGTAATAACCCCATTGCTAAAAATGTACCTTGTCAGATTGACTTCCACACAGTTCCCCCTGGAAACCATCGTGATAAAATATTGGCGATTTTGCCAAGATGGGCTAACTGATATGACCTCATGCTCATTATATCATCCTCCGTTGGTACTCTGCATGCGTAAACCTTTAGCGCTAGCGACACCACACTATTATCATAAATTAAAAAAATACACAAATAAAAGTGCATATGGCAAACAACGATATACAAATATAGATTACTTACTTTCCTGGGCAATAATCCGTTGTTTTGATTATTATTTTTCTTCTGGAATGCCTATTAACATAGTGTATGGATTAAAAATAAGGTACGTACGTACAAATAGTATAGTTTTAGGTGGATATTAAAATAACAATTAATTAAGACATAGTATTAAAAAGTAATACAGGTACGAAGTGAATATTTTTCAGCCAGTGCATCTCAAGATCACAAGGTTCTGAGTTCTTATCATTTCTATTTTTACTAGCTGTTACCCATGACTTCGTCCACATGGAATGAAAATAAATATAATTTCTAAAATAAAAGTAGCCTAAGTTACTGCTTACAACATTAACTATCTGCGATTATAAAACAGCAGTTTCAGAGATTAGCAAGATCAAATAGATAGACAGACTTTTTTTTTAAGTTATGGTATTGATGTAAGTACCTTATATATTTTCATATGTATTTAGTGAAAGTCTGTTAATTTGAATTTTGTAAACAGATACTTCAATTTTAATTATTTGTATATAGACTGTATGTTTTTTTTTATATAATAAATGTCTTACCCAGACTGATTATAGCTCTAACAATAAAACTCACTTCAAAATATGGAAACTGTGGCACGAATCGTCTTCCAAAGTCCTTATATTCAGTTGGGTAACTGTAGTGCTGGTTCGTGCCCATCATGTCGGCCAGATCTCCTGCTGCCTTTTCAATCTCATACTGTGGATCTGGTTTCTATTGTGGATTAAGCGGAGGAGTTTATTTCTACCTGCTTAATTTAAAACACAGTACTTTTTGTTTTTTTAATTAATATTTATAGCTATGATTGTTTGTATCGGTCTGGGTATTTTTTTATGTATGTATTTACAAAAAAAATTAAGTATTTATGTCACATGTCTAGTAGCCATAACACAAGCTCTGCTTACTGTGGGACTAAATGGCGTTGTGTTAATTGTCGAGCGTTATTTATTAATTTCACTTACCTTAGTAGCGGTATTCTGTTTTAATAATTCAATTCTCTCATTTTCATTAATACTGGGTGCCTTATTTACTTCTTCAACAAATGAATTACTATCTTCAGATTCTTCCCCATCCTCCACTTTCCCAAAAACTGAATGGTTTTCTGCTGAGCCTCTTGCATTCGCACTGTTCTTAGCAGACTCGATTGACTGTGTGTCTTTTTCTACCGATGTTCCAGAAGCGAATTGCTGCATTAACAGTAATATGATTTGACTGCCTCGGTGGTCTAGCGGTTTAGCACACCGCATTACTTCCGATGGTCGCGGATTCGATTCGCGGCACGGTTTAAATATTTATAATATGGAGTATGCTTGTTTGTATCGGTCTGGGTGTTTTCTATGTGTATTATGAATGTATATACAAAAAAAATATATTTAAATATTTATATCAGTTGTCAAGTAACGATAACACAAGTTCTGCTTACCGTGGGACTAGATGTCGGTGTGATAATTATTCAATGTTATTTAAAAAAAATGTGAAGATTGGCAATTACGTATATATAGTAGGTATACATACAGCCTCATGGGATCTAAGCGAGGAAAGTGTCTGTAATTTTTTTTAAACATATTTTCACTACATGCTCATGAAAGTAGGTATATACCTACCTAGTATATATGTGCTACTCACACAAAAAAACTTTTATAAATGTTTGTCTGTCTGTCTGTTTGTTCTACCTAATCTCTGAAACGGTTGGTCATATTTTGACGAGAGTTTCACTCACAGTTAGGTAATGTTATAAGAAGTAACAGACACAGTTATTTCATAGATCAGTTCATTAGATATCGGCTACTTAAAAATAATAAACATACCGATACAAAATTTTGTTGAAAAACATATATCACTAAAATTATATTAATCTTCATATTATACCAATCCCATGTTAAATCCAAAACTAAAGTAATATTGTAGTTAAAAAACTAATTAAGTATCCACGTAATTATAATTTTAATCGTAAAATAGTAAATTGAAGTCGTATTGTAATTTCTGCAAACACAATCTGCATTTATGCACTTATCTGAGTAATATTGTGATAGCCAATTCGTAAGGAATCAAATGTATAAAAATAATCTTTACGACTTTAATATCGTATGCGGTAGTCAGAGGCATCGCCAACTGTTGATATCGTGGTGAATGTAACACTTGACATGTTTACATTTCATTGAATATGTACCGTGTATATTTAAATACGACGTTTTAGGAACCGATTGTAATCGTCTGTCGAATTATCTCGTATTGTTTTCGGTATTTCTATCATAAGAGACCCTCTTATGATAAAAATACCTTAGAGATTAAAAAATTCTGGGAAATAAAAGTTTATACTCAAAACCTTTGCCTGTCACTTGCAAACAATCTTGTTAATTCCAGATGAATTCGCCAAAATAGGATGCTGACCTAAATTTATGCTCATATTTATCCTTTAGAAAAGGCAGACGGAACTGTGCTAACTGTGCATACCGCTGAGTCTATGTCTAATAGAGATGTGTCAACTCGATTTAAGTCGAGTGGCGCTGCATTCGAGTTAACTCGAGTTCAATTCTACCAACTCGAGTTGGAAGAATTCAACTGGTAAATGAATCTATCAAGTGAAAGAGCGAGGGTACGGTTCTGTCATTGAACCGACAATGACATGAAATTTTCCGATCATATACAATTTTCACTAGTGATATTTCAATTATGATTTTAGGTTGTTATCATATTATTCGCATATTCGTCCGGTTATGTTATCATTAAAATGATTCTGCAGTCCATAAGTCCTTCTATGGCTTTAAAGTGCCATTTCTACTCGCCCCCTATAGTTCGGTGAAGCTTTCAAGGCTAGCTGCGCCCAAAAACATTAGAATTGATCGAAAAATAAAAAAAAAAACAAAAAAAATACTGTATATTCCAGGTAACTCGAGTCAACTCAAGTCATGTTTATTACGAGTTAGCACATACTTATCTAATGCCTAATACTTATCCTCAAGATTAGAGACCTTTTTTTGGTGCTGTTTATCCTTTAACGGAAAGGCAAAAGAAATTGCGCCCATACAGCCATGTCTGCATATTTTTGTTTTTCTTGATATCATATTTTTTTTAATGTCTTGAATTGTTAACATAATGTAGTCATACAGTGCAAAAAATGTTCTTGAATTTGTTAATAGTTCTAAAGGAAATGACCAGAATCCATTGATGACAGTTTACAATAATGTTGCCAGACCGTGTTATATTTCTACTGTGGAATACAGTTTAAAATTAGTAATCGTTTAAACGAAGAAAAACGTCACTCAAACATTTATTCACTGTAATATTTTTTGTCAGTAGTGTAATAGTGAAGGAATAATTTAAAGTAGTTCTACTTAATAATATAAATATTTGTCATATAGTATATATATTTAATGTACTGTGTCTTATTGTACTTAATTAATAAATACAAACACAAATTAATACAATATTTTTGTGATGCGAATTTACGCATGCGTATTAATAAGATTAAGCATAGTAGTATTTACATTTTAAATATGGCAATTTTATTACGAAAAAGAAAAATAATTAAGTTTAATTTGACAACTATAACATTTAACTCAGCTGAAAAATGCATTTTTATGGATTAAATTAATATAAACAATTAAATTTTCGTAATAATATCAACAAATGTTACTATAAATAAATCTGAACATATATCCACTAAAAGTGATCAAGATTAATTTCTCCCGCGTTCCATTGTGTCGTTGTTTTGTAATAGTTTATTTCGACAAAACTAACAAATAATGTTTGGAAGACCCCGTTGCAGAGAGTGGACACCTCTTGCGACTCAACAACTCCGTTTGCGCAGCCTTATACAGGTATACAAAAAAAAACTACTTGAATAAAAACTTTTCATTCTTTTGTAGGTTTACCAACAAACGCCTACACATTCATGACTAATTTGATAATAATTTTATTTTGTATTGTATTTATTTCGTTAGTCGTATTAAGTGTAATAAATGTACAATTGGAACATGCTTACTATATTTAATTGGTATTTAATGCTAGTTGATGAATTCATGATATATGTCTCAGTTGCTTCTTACAAAGACATCTATTGTGCTTACCATATTGTCCATTGATATACTTTATGCAACAATATATATGCAGAATAAATATATACACAGATAATATAAGTAACAATAATTTGAAATCAAGCTAAGTCCTACAATTCCTACAATAAATTGCAATATGAAATAAAAATTAGTTTTATTTATCATGGTTTTATCTAATATGAGCAAACAGCCTCCTAAACACTATATCCAATATGTCGGAATTGTCCGCTCCAGAGACACTGGATAATGCTGCACTGCTGCGGACCCAGTGCTTCTGGACGTAGAAATAGGCATAAAATAAAATTGTAATTTACTAACATATTCTGTAAGTTGTTTACTAACATAATGTGGATACATATTTGAAATAAATGAAATATATATATTTATATATAATATTATTATTGCAAATATTTTGTTTGTTTATTTTTTTGCTTGTGGGATTAGACTGTTCATGTTACGGACACTAATTATACATTTTCTTTTGACCATGTTCCAATAGTATATGCTGGTAGTCATTCTATTCTTCCAAATTTCAACTTTAAAATGAGTCTGTATCATTCTAAACACATACAAGATCATTTGAAAAGAATAAGAGTGGAGTTCCTTGTCAATCTTTTCAGCTTGAAAACACTCCAAATTAACGGGAGATTTGACATATTATAAGAGTCTGTAATAAACCTACATCTATATATTATAATGTTTGTGTAGGTGTATTTCTAAATATTTTTTTTTTAATATTGTAATTGTTGTAGTTAAACTTAGGTACCTGGTTGACCAAGTAATTGTAAAGCACTGTAATCATATAATGTTATCAATTTGTTTTTAGTTGTTGTTGTGATTGTTATTCTCAGATTGTTGGGTACAACATCAGACCACCTGAGTGGACCTCCACCCAGTGCAGTTTCTACTTGACCCTGCACCACACTACTATGTCCGCCCCATTCTACACTAGTGAGAGAATATCCTCGCCACACCCCAAATGGAAGGAGATAGACTCAGGTGATTATCATAGTACTTGGGAATATAACATTAAGGTACATAATAAAATGTTCAAGTAAAAATTAATTTTTAATTAATGAATTTATATTATTTAATGAATTAATTAATTCCGGTACCATTAGCTGTGTGAGACCACAAATATTCAGTGCATCAACTTGACCACAGTATGCTGGAAATGTATTATTCTGACTATGATTGAGTCTACACCCATATTGCGGCATTTGTTTCTTATAAACAGTGCATTATCAAGCATTAAGTGGTGTCTTACCTTTAGGCTGAACTGTTCTGAAGAATGATCTTGCATTGTTATTTCTAATTGTCCTATTATTATTAAGATAATCCATAATTATGCCTCTGTAGGGCAAAAGTCCATATAGATGAATCTTTTGTGATGCATTTTTTTTAATTTACATCTTTCTGTTTCTTGCATCAATGTGTGTAAAGTATATGATGTATTTGTACTTTGTTCTCACAATACTGGTGATAAGGAGGGATAACACAATATATTTTTGCTTAGTCATCAAATGGAATTCATCCTACAGCATTGAAATTACAGGATATGAGGTATGACACCTTAGTCCTATAGATTGGCAGTGCATGAGTGGTATAATAGGTGTCACATGTTAGTGTCATGTTCATAGTGCTATTTATGTATATAATAAATGGTTACAGCTATGAGCAAAGGCGATTGTTAGTTATGTGTCCTGTTGACCCCATTGCAAGCAATGTACCATGTCGGGTTGACGTTCATGCAGTACCATAACCCCCTAGAAACCATCGAAAAAAATTCCTGGTAAATTTGTCACAATAGACTGACCTGACCTCATGTTTATTCTATCATACTCAACTGGTGCCCCGGCAGGGTAAACCGTTAGAGCAGGCGGGTGTACCATTCCTTATCTTTATACATAGTATAAAGTATATACTACAAAGTCGCTGCCACTGTCTGTTGGCTTATATCTTTTAAATTACTCAACAGATTTGAATGAAGTTTCCAGCAATAGATAGAGTGATGCAAGAGGAAGGTTTATATGTATAATACATGGGTGTTAAACTATAGAAAAAGCCGGGAAATTCATAGATTTGTAAGGACTAGCTATAGTCATCAATAAAAACAAATGTTTCCACTAAACATCAAGTGAACTATCTATAAGCTTATTTACATTCCAATTGCATAAAACAGTCACAATGTTTCAATGTCTTGGTTCAATCATTTCATGACCCACAGCTGTGTATATGACTCATTGATAAGCAAGTTTACTTACAATAAGTTACTGTGTCAAATATTATCTAATGACGTAACGTTTGCACGAAACGAATTAACTCATGCTATCATTAGCGTATAATTAGGAAACTGGTTTAGTTTCAAAATAGCAGTTACTCTGTCCTAATTTCAATTGTGATAGGTATTTACAACAATAGATTTGAACTTTTAAGTTCAAATCTATTTGTATAGCTACGAAAACTTAATAGCTACTTTGTATAGAGACATACTTGTTTATTCTGTTGATGTATCTGTAATTTGTTTGTTACATTGCTATAGTTAATACATATGTAATTTATTAATATGATAATCTATACAAATAAATAATAATGAAGTGTCAGTTTGTAATTTTAAATTAATAACTTTTCACTAATGTACTATAATACTTACATAGAAACATTAATATATAAGAAATGTCTGTCTGTTTGTTCTTGCTAATATAAAATGGTTGGGCCTATTTTAACGGAACTTTTACTTACAGATAGTCCATTTGTTAAGTACGTCTATAGGAAATATAACATCTCGGTTCGTAAAACTAGGAGAATGTAACGCAGACAGAGTTGCAATGGTCACCTAGTCTTTACTGTAATTAAAAATATTAAAAATATCATTTTAATATACAATATTGTTTTACAGAATTAACCCATCGTATGTCATCCACCAACATAGTCATTCGCATATGGTGTCACCACTCTCACACATTCCGGGAGGAGGACAATGAAGGACCACGTGACACCGTCATACAAACGTGGGGTGTATATTTCAGTGGCCTAAGGTATATAGGGGCCAATTTAGCTTTAAATTTCACATCAGACTGTTTCAAAAGCAACACGCTTGTGTTCCAAATGCATGGTGGATATTTCTGTTCATATAAAAGTCTTAAATTAGATATAATACCGCCGGAGAATGAATTAGAACAAGGTTCCCTATCTTCAGATTCTTCTGGTAGAACGAATCTGTCAAAGATTACACTAGAACCTAAATTTATTCAGAATCATAAGTTAGTGAAGGAAACAAGGTCTATATCGCCTAGTAAGTTTACAAGGAAACGTGATAAGGAATACTCTAAAAGTAATAGTCCAATTGAGAAAGGTTTCAAGCAAAATATATCAACATTGAAAACTTCTGTTAGTTTAAATATAAGTCACAATAACCGAGACTATTACAGAAAAAGAGATGTAAGTGAAGAAAGAAATAAAAATGATCCAAATTACATTTACGAACATTCACCAGACAGTTTGGATGTTAAAGAATTTACGTCGAGCGGTCTAAATTGCTTTGGTCCATCAAAAACGTCATCGCAAGAAGATTTATCGGGTAGCAAAATCGATCTGAGCGAGATCGCAGAAAATTATGATCTCAGGAACGAGTCCGATGGCGTACCAAAATACAGATATATGGCAATTAATTTTTTGAAATCGGAAATAAGGCCGAGTTATAATGCGACAAAATTGCAGAAACTGCATTTACTTCAGTATTCTATAAAGAAGAAACAAGAGGCTGTGCAAGAGATAAAGGAGAGGATACACAGTATATCTGCTGTGACAAATAACAGTTGGCCTCTACCTGAGGACCAGTTTGAAACGAGTACTAAGCTGAAAGGTAGATCCCAAAAAAATTTGTTCTCTCCTGAAGATAGTGATAGTGTAGAAAAAGGACAGTATTCGTCACATAGTGATGTAAGTTTAAAGAATGGTAAAATAAAAGAAGAGAAACAGAAGCCTAATGGACCTCGTCTCACTTTAAAATTGAATGATCTCCTTTCATTTAAGGTATGTAAGACTATTCTATTCCCACTTAGATATTAGATTAATCCTACTAATTATATACGCGAAAGATTTTCAGAATGGACAGATGAATTTAACAATGTTGGTTTCACTTTAGAACTAAGAGTAAATTGAAATGAAATTTCTACGCAGTAGGATACTGTTAGTATTAATATTATAGCGTGGATTGTCGAGCCGGCAGAAAGGCCATAAATTGCCCGAATTTAATAATTATTTGACCTCATCCTTGTAACATTTGGTTACATTTATAGGACAGCTTCGTCCTTAGTGTGAAGACATAGTCGTCTTTCGTCTGCGTGGGTACCTAATTCGTATCTATTGCAGCGGTTAAGCACCTGGCTGTTATTGGGTGAGATAAGGCAGTGAAATTACAGGGTACGGAGACATGACATCTTAGTCCTCCAGAATGGTAACGGCTGAGTTATATCACGGGTGTCACATGATAACGTGATGTTCGTAGTGCTATTCATGTATATAGACGATGATTACCACTTACAATCAGGTGGGCCATCAGCTTATTTGTCATTCGATTAGATTAGGTAAAATTAATTAATTTTAATGTATATATTATTACCATGCTTTCCAGGTCAAACCCTCGCCATTCCAAAGGGCGGAGCATGTAAGACTCACAAAGCAATTAGAAATACTAAGATTTAAGCGAATTATACTATCTGATGAAAGGGACAGCAAGCTCGCTAACATTAGAAGACTGAAAGAGAGACACGCGAAACTTTTGGAAGAAAACCAAGATGTTGGTATGTGTTTTTTATATTTTAATCTTACTGAGCTTATTCCCTGTTTGGGATAAATAAAGGTTCGTTCTAGTTCATTATATGTTGACTTATTCTCAGACCTACCGAGTATACATATTATTATAATATTTCATTAAAATTGATTAAGCCTGGCAAATAACATTGTGACACATCGATATATACATTCGTATGTAAAACAAACATGTTTTAATAACTAGTCCTATTAAAACAAATAAATGATAGCAAAGTGCAGTGATGGCTGGCTCAAAGGTACAACGATTATTTAAAAGAGCAACACGCAAGTTTTTTCATCGTTCTTCTTGTGATGAGCTTTCTGCAGTCAGCTTTCCGACTGAGCGTGAATGAGCGAGAAAGAGCGAGCGAATAGATTAAAAAAATAGTTATGACTATTCAAAAGTGCTCAAATGAAGTTTATTTGAATTAAGGATTTTCTTTTCTAAATGTAAACTGTAATTCCAGGTTTGGAATTGATGCAAAACTACCACACGCTGTCTAGACGGAATGATACCATGAAAGAAACCCGCCAGTCATGCGCGGCGATGCGAGATATGGCGGCTAGATCGCACGCGGCACTAGTCAGTCAGCGGCACCAGTTACTTCTACAATTACATCAGATATTCTATATACAACAGGTATTACACTACTACTTCTAGTACATACAATATTATAATGGCGAAAGTTTGTGAGTATGGATGGATGTTTGTTAGTCTTTCAAGCAAAAACTACTGAACGGATTTTGATGAAACTTTACAGAAATATAGCTAATACATCAGAATAACATATAAGCTATAAATTTCACGTAGTTGAAACCGCGGGTACAACTAGTATTTAAGTGGCTTTCTGTAGATTCTTTACTACTGACGGTCTAGTGGATTAGCACACTGTTTTAATTCCGACGGACGCGAGTACGATTCCTCGCATAATGCACGCATTTATATAGTTTTTTATTATAGATGGGTTTGCGTTTGGTCTTGGGCTTTATCTGACGGAAAATGATGACAAGACCTACACTACACTACTTCACTCGGTTACTCTTAGAAACCATCGTGACAAATGCCTGCTTAATTTTCCACGATGGCCTAACTGACTTGACCTCATGCTCATCTTATCATCTGCTGCTGATGCCCCACCAGCTTAAACCGTTAAGGCAGTCTTGCGCACCATTCCATTATCTTATATATAAAATTCTCGTGTCACAGTTTTCCCATACTCCTCCGAAACGGCTTGACCGATTCTCATGAAATTTTGTGAGCGTATTGAGTAGGTTTGAGAATCGGCCAACATCTATTTTTCATCCCCCTAAATGTTAGGGGTAGTCAACCCCTAATTTTTTTTTTTATTTTAAGCCAAAACAACGTTTGCCGGGAGCTTGTAATCTATAAAAATATATCCTACCTGCATAGACGTTGTTTTACAGAATATACCTCGTATTTATTTAAATTAATTTTAACACTTTACAGAAAGACACATCAATCTGGACAATATGTGACGTGTGTCTGCCTATATGTGGAGATGAGACCACCAGCCGGGCATCGAAACCAGTAAGTGACTCAGTGGCAGCCGGCTTCGTCGCCCAAGCAACTTGCCTAGCGGCCGCTTTGTTGAACCAACCTCTCCGCTACAAGATCACATTGCTGGGTTCTGCGAGCAAGATTTTAGATATAACGCCGGAACTGCCAGATCCTAAGTAAGTCTTCTAATATTTAACTAATGGAACGAATTCTAAAGCCGAGATTTTTAAGGATGATAACGGTATATGGTGGTGGTGCACCAGTGGAAGATAATAAACTCTAAGTATGAGTACAGAGTTTACTAAATATCCATTCCATTTTCGGTATATTTTTTAGCAAACGAATTGGAATATTTTTCTTATCTCAACTAATTTTTACCATAAAATGGCAGACTCACGCAAATTATTTTGTATAAAGTCTACCTAGGCAAAACATGTATAAAATATAATTTTATCTTGCAAAATGTGTTATGTTTGCTACATGTCTTTTTATACAAAAGAAGTGTGAATGCAATCGCAATTGAATTGTTTAAAGTCTTGGTATAATATGTATATAATATTGTCTTGCAAAATGTATTATGTTTGCAACAAGTATGTTATATATGTATTATATACATACTAAAGGATATAATACTAATAGTAGATGTTATCTGTTATTACAGTAATATTACTTAGGTACATTTTGTTAATCTCATTGTATTTGACATTACTAATAGCAAGGGCGCATTCTGTGCCAATAGCTGGCTGATAAGAATGTTTCGTATCAATTAAATAATAATTAAGTCGGTACTTAGCATTTGTCAATTATAGACTTTAATGCAATTGTGTGTACTCGATATATTTACTTATATATTCATTAGCAATTCGTCCTGATTTTGCGAGGGTATTTCAATTAATTAAAAAAAAATCTTAACCACATATTCTTTACTCAGAAATCTTGCTTAGTTTGTCGATGAATGAAAATGGCATGAAAATCCGTTGTCATTTTTGAGATTATTGCGAATAATTGACACGGCCGGGGACTGTTATATATCTAATTTATAAAATTCTCGTGTCGCGGTGTTTGTTACCAAACTCCTTCGAAACGTCTTTACCAATTTTTATAAAATTTTATATGCATATTCAATAAGTCTGAGATATCTATTTTTGATACCCCTAAGTGATATGAATTGTCCAGCCCTATGTGGCAAAAAAAATACATACAACCCTAAATTTCACCCTACTATCACCAACCCCTATTTTTTAATAGCGATTTTAATTTATATGATAAAACAGCCAGGGTCAGCTATTCAGGTTAATACGCAGACCTTGTACAAAGTTTGCATCGGTTAAAATAATAAAAAATAATAATACCCCTGGACATTTTACATAACGCCATCTAGTCTCAAGGTAAGCAGAGCTTGTGTAATAGGTACTAGATAACTGATTATATCAGTCATACTTATGAATACAAATCTTTATACCGTGTGAGGAATCGAATCCGCGACAATCAAAATTAAAGCGGTGTGCTAAGCCGCTAGACTACCGAGGCCGCTATGTACTTAAGAGGCCGAATATACTTAATTTATTTTATTAATATTGTTATTTATCACATTTTGCAGTATACCCCTGTTCGCTCGAGGTGGAGACACCACTTTGTTCCGGTACGCAATGTTCCTACTCAACAAGTGTATCGCTCAACTGCTATGGGGTCGAGGTCTCTACGTCACCGACATGAGACCGACCCTAATGAACTTGGAGAGGCTGCTCACCACACCTAGTAACCTGTAAGTATCATTTGTTTATTTTAAGCCTTATGCAATATTGATTAGGTCGATTTTACTTTGGAAGTTTTATGGGCATAAATACCATACGTAATTCACAAAATTTAATTGGTTTCTGTCGGTTTTATACATATATTTATGTGTGTATTTACAAAGAAATGTAAGTCTACTCTAAGTAAGCTCAGCTTAGCTTGAGACTAGATAGCGCTGTCTGAATTGTCACTAGATATTATTATTATAATGTAATAATAAATTACAACCCAAAGTATCTGAGATGTGGTATCCTCAGCTTTTAGCACTCTTACAACCTGATAAGTGGTAACAAAACACTAAGCTTCAATGTTCTCACTTCTGTACTACATTTATTAATTATTATTATTATTATCTTAATGTTACAAGGGCTATTTTAACTATATGAAACCTGCACTTAGCACTTACACCATCAGTATAACTATTGAACAAGCTTAGTGTTGTAGAAACTATATTATTGTCACTTTACACTTTAAACTTCTTTCAACCGACTTTTAAAAGGTGGAGGATTTCAGTTTGACTGTATTCTTGTTTTATATCTGTTACCTCAGAGAGTTATCCTTAATGTGATAAGGTATGTATTTTTTTTGTAGGAACTGCTAAACTAAAATCAACCGATGAGTCAATCATGCACCATATTTGCTATTTTATATACAGTGACCTTTTCCTTAGCTTTTTGCTTTTGTCTGTCTTTGTACGTCATATATCTTAAATTGGGTATTCATTATTTATCATTTGAAACATAATTCATCATCTTCTTGTATATATATTATACTAGCTGTGCCCGCGATTTCACCCTGCTGAAATTTATAGCATATGTGTTATTCTGATGTATAAGCTATGTTATTGTAAAGTTTCATTAAAATCAATTCAGTAGTTTTTGCGTAAATTAGTAACAAACATCCACCCACACTCACAAACTTCCACGTTTATAATCTTTATCACTCTGTATCTTTCTTTGTTTGTTCTGTTATTGGAACAATAATAATATTGAAACTTTTGTTGTTTGTTATATTAAAAAATCAAACACTAAAATTTAAATAAAACTTACCGCTTAAACTTACCATAAAATAGTGATGAAAACTTCACACAAATAGTTGAAACCATTTCTGAGAGAACGCACAAACGCACAAACAAACGAAGAAAAATTCTAACATCATTCTCTTAATTCTATGACACTTGTAAAGCCACTCAATAATAGTTTTTTTCATATATATTCCATGTCCAGACAGCAATTAGTTACATTTTTATTATATGTATTCATTATTGTCATATCATTGAAGAACACACAAGAACCTTAAAATAGAACCTTAGGTATGACGTCAACAATGGGAGCCATAATGCCTTTCAATTATTTTTACGTGAAATTTAAAATTTTCTTATTTAGAATATATTGTTTTCTTTTAAATATTAGTTTTAGGTCAGCATAAATTTATTTTATTATTAATTTCTTTTTATCAAAATAAATCATGATGATAATCGCGGATACAACTAGCAAATAACACAAGCAAAACTCCACCGTTTGACATAGGTCGGACACCTCAAAGTTGTTTGGCACGTACAAATGGCTGGCGGATGGCCAGTGTCCGAGGACGCAATCGCTTCGAAGCTTGGTAGCGTCGGAGCGAGGGAAGTACCGGCAGTTCAACAGGTTCAAGGTATGTTCTCGAAATTCTACACAAACATAGAAAGTTCCAGAATTAATATTAGGTGTATGGTAATCTTACACAACCTGGCATAAGTTGGAAACTTCATAAGCTGGAATATTTGAAGCTGGATTCTCAATGGAGAATCACTTCTTTTACAACGGTCAGCAAATCTATATAGTCTGGAAGACTGATTGTAAAAATATAAAATAAAAAAGACTATTATGTTAATCATAGCTGTATATATGGTAAATTTTGTGAATGTTTGGCACTCGCTATGAGGTGATGGGTGGTGACGGACACTGTATCGTTGTGCTTAGAGGGATCTATGGAAATGTATTGAGGGTATTACATTATCAAACATATGTATGTTATAATCATAACTAAGTAACGCACTTGCAATTCCCCTGGTGTTGCGGGTGCTCATGGGAGGCAGTAATCATTTACCATCAGGTGAACGGCAGTCCTATGTCCCCTATGCTATAAAACAAAAATCTATGTTTTTCATCAAAGTTTTCGTTATAGCCTGACTTATAAAACAAGCAAGAATTTAAATAATATAAACTAATTTATGCTTAAAGTAATTAGGTACTCATTTTTTTCTTTTTTGTGATAAATCGTTGCCTTCGCTATGTACAAAATGCACCAGTATACTTTCTTTTCCAGTTATTCGCAACTGAAACAGCTAGCCGAACAGAAATACCTTTCATTCTGTAGTAACGAACTCTAAATGTTGTATACATGTTATTGTTTTTATTTTACATTTTAATTTTTTGTTATGTTATTTTATCACCTACTAAGAGACGCTGGTTATTGTTGAATGGAATATGATGTTTTAAATGTAATTTAATATAGATATGAGTAACTTTGTACCTTAACTAAAAAACAAAATTGGCAGACCACAGAAATCAATGATCAATTGTAATTGTATTGTGATACATAGTGTGCAGTTTTTTTTATATTATTTTCCCCAATAATTGTAATGATTTCAATTTGAAAAATATTATTTTTTTAATTCTATCATTAGGATGCAGTGGATGGACAATCGCCACATTCTGCTTTAAACATCAAAAGACACCGGCACTCTAGAAGCGTTGGCAGTTATAATGATGAACAAGTAAGTTAATTCGACAATGACGGCCTGGCTTGTCTAGCTATGGCCTAGCACATAGCCTTACTTCAGATACTTGCGGGTTCGATTACTCGCTCGATGCAAACATGAGTATAAATTTGATTTCGATTGGTAATCCTAGATTAAGAGTGTCTTACGCTTCTATCTTTTTTTAGTGTAAATTATATGGCAAACAAGCAAACGGTCCACCTGATGGTAAGTGGTTACCATATACATAACAAAGAGTACCACAGACATTACATTACATCACACATGTAACGCCATGCCTCATATGCTTGTCATTCCGGTGTACTCTGATGTTATGCCCGATTTAATTGATATGGCAGTGAAAGTAATTTCAGTGTCATATCACACCCGCGGCTGACTGAAATCGATGAGACAGACACCCATATGACTTTGTACAAATTATAGGTCTGATAATTCGGTATCTTTATTGCCTTATTTTTTCTCACGCCTTAAGCTACTTTGTGTGTGACAATAAAACCTATTTTCTAATATTGTTAAAAAGAACAATAACAAAATCTATATCTCTATTTATTTTTATAGGAATTGGCTGCTCTAGACACATCGACAGTTTCAATAATGGGCAGTGAATCCAATATATACAACATGAAGTTAATAGAAACGAATCCCAATCAAACTCCTCCAAGTTTAAAAACTCATAATTCAGACTCTGAAATATTGAGATTACTTACTGAAGATAGACAGGCTGAGGAGAGCGATAACGAAGTAACTTTCACTCTAGGTGAAGACACCATGTTAGTGAATTTACAAAGTGAGAACTTAGTGAGAATATCGACAAATAACGACGATGAAGTAACTTGTTCGACGTGTTTAGACGAGAACGTCAAAAGAATATGTACAGAGATAGAAAACTTTTGTTCGACAAGTACACAAATAGAGAAACATGAAACGAAAGAAATAATAGAAGGGTTCGACGTCGTCAGACATATGGAAGCTATGAATGAAGATATAGCAAAATATATGGAGCAGAAGAGCATAGATATAGAATCTAATGACGTAACATGCGATGTATGTGCTGATACGGACGTGTGTGATATAGCTTGTGCCAATAATGTCACTGAAGTTATTGTGATACCTAGTGCTGAGGCGATTTTAGATACAGGACAGATTGAAAGCGATGAGGTAAATGAATCGAGAGAAAGTGTTGAAGCGAATACAGACGGTCAATAGTATTGGTACGGTAATGGTAGATTATGCAAATTTGTATAATAATATATCAAGCGAGTTGATTTGTTTGTATAAGATTTAAATTTCGTATTCTATGTGTTATTGTTGAGACTGGGCAATCGAACAATGTGAAATATTTAGTTTATTGTAAATCTGATAAGAAATAACATTACAGTTCTCTAGTTCCCATAGTAGAAGTCCTGCTTAGTTTGGGGTTAGAAAACACTGAGTTATCCAAGATTAATTATTATTTATTTGTATTACAAGTATATCTAATTTCATGAGTCTATTTCGAATATAGACAGAAAATGGTGTATATTCTTGATTGTATATTAAAAATTATTTGTTTTATATCGCAGTACAGAAATTAAATAAAGATGAATTATACAGCATGCACACAAATAAACATACTCCTTTCCGTTCTTTTATTTAAAAATTTCTTTTACTTCTAAAGTCATTTATTTTTGTTATGTGATTTATGTTATGTTTTGTCAAGTGCAATTTTCATTGTTGTTCAGAATAAATGTATTTCATTTCAAATATTTTACAGCAGTTGTTGCTTTTATAATAATTGATTTCTGTTTTGTATATTAATTAATTTATTCAAAGGTGATAACAGTAAACATGCATGTCTAATCTTACAAAATATTAGAACCCTTAATACAGTCCTCTTTGAGTACTTCCATATGTGAAAGACCTAAGCCTTATAGTAATGTTCTGAGTTGTTGTTAGGAATGTATTGGAAACATTGTTTTTAATTATAAACCAACGGTCTAATCCTACAGCTAATTCATCTACCATGGGATAATTCATATTTTTTATTATTCAATGGCAATATTCGTATGGAAGGTATGTAATTGTAATTTGTGTAATATGTATGGTTTAGTCTCTATTAATTGTAACACCAATAAATTCCACGTCTGTGATGATTTTAGTGGCCTTTTAAGTGTCACTAATTACTTCACTAATAGTAGTTTTACTTGATTGCACCATTGGAATTTTTATAAGCAAAGTTGTATCATCATCTGCTTCTTCCTTATCTTATTCATTTGGAGTCGGTGTAATATGTTTTCTATTTCATTCATCTCGTTATTTACTCCCTTTCTTGCCATATCATCTTTCAATGCATCACCGCTAAGGTCACATTATATAATAAAGTAATGTAAGATGAAGTTTCTTTATATACATATACGTTACCTCGTGTCCAATGCTGAATACTCTTTTAATCCCGTAATTTTGTAATTCATTACGGACTAGCTGTTACTCGCGATTTCACCCGCTTGAAAGGTAACTTTTTTATTAAAATAAATAAAATTTCTAAAATAAATGTTACCTTAGCTACTCCATCCATCCATTAGCTGTCTGCGAGTAACTTGTCAAAATCGGTCCAACCATTTCAGAGATTAGCAAGAATAAACAAACTGATAGACAGACAGACAAAACATTTTTAAATTATTTGTTTTGATGTAAATACTGTATATACCTTCATAAGCATTTAGTGAATGGAGTTAATTTGATGCATGCAAACAGATACTTCAATTTTATTTCTACAATGTTTTCAAATATAATAAATATCATTTCTACATACGTATTTGACCATAACTCTCATAAACATAATTTTAATATAATTAATTATTTACCAAACATACAAAATTTAATACGATGTTTAACCTGTATTTGTAAAATATGAATTTCTATTATGTTATATACTACTATGTTGTATTTTATTCAGTCTGTGTTATTTTAGTTGTTGTATATTTTAATTGTTGATGGAGTCCCTCAGGGTACGATTATATGACCACCTTTACGAATTGTATTAAATTAAACATAAAAGTTTGTTGAGTTAAGTAACATTTCAGCACATGTGTGCTGATGTATTTAATGTAAATTGTTATTTATAGAGGACACAGTTGGTGATGAATAAAACTCATAATAATCTGTTGTTAAGTAAATACAATAAAATATTTATTTAATACCCTTGAAGAAGTTTTTAAATACCTAACTCCCAAATTCAACCCACACAAGTTTTTTTAAGTAAAAGGTATTGTTGTGGTGGGGTTCTTTTGTGTTGAGATGGTATGTGTTAAATAATAAATAATATGTACGTTTACAGCAGAAGAATTGTATTGTCCTTTTATAATTTTCTTTTACATTAATGTCAATCTATATTTGACAACTAAACTATTACAACTACTATTATAAAATCGTAATCGGTGAGGCCGTATATACTCGTAACAGCTATATATGTTTTGTTGCCTGGGAGTGGTCAGCCAAATATAAGTAAATATATAGGGAGATGGGACTGTTGACCTATTGGTGTAGCAATGGCTAGCAATGTACCATATTACGTTGACCGATTGGCTAACTAACCTGACCTCATGTTCATCGTCTACCACTCATGTATGGTGGAGTGTAAACCGTTCCACTCCATTGTGATGCATTAAAAAGGAAAAATATATTATTATATATACAGAGGGGATGAAGATTGTTAGTAATGTGGTCTAATAATTTCATTGCTAACAATATACCATGTCAGGTTGACTTCCGGCGACTGACCTGGCCTCATGCTTATGTAAACATCCTCCACTGTTGCCTCACCAGTGTAAACCTATAGCGCGAACGGGTGCACCATTGCTTTATCACAATTGACTCTCCCCCTGAACCCCCGTGCTCTTTTGTAATCAGTACCTAATAGTGTGATAATAATATACCTACGGTTATTTCTTTTATATATATTAACCATTCTTGACGACGTCCAACCGAAACTAATTTCATAAACTACTAGCTACCCGCCCCGGCTGGCTCACACGGGTGTAAACCCGTGCGATAGCATATAAACCTTCCTGTTGAATCACTCTATCTATTGCTAAAAACTGCATTAAAATCCGTTGCGTAGTTTCAAAGATATAAAGCGAACAGAGCGGAAGCGACTTCATTTTATATTATGTACAAACAGTACAAATAAATTTTGAAATAAATTGTTATACCTAATTCACAATCTAATACAGTGTAAAGTAAGACATTGTGTCTGAACCGTCGACCGTGTTCTATTAATGGATTCCACTAGAATACCTAACGAAACGAGTTCGATCAATTATACAATGCCACAAACTTTCCCGATATGTCACACGTTATTTTGAGCTGAGCAGGGTGCTATATGAACGCGAAATAGATATGTATCGTATAATATTTGTTTGAAATTAATTGAAAATTTATTTGCTCAAACAATCTGATCGATCCCCCGTCCAATTCCAACGGAGATAAAAATTACGCCGGCCTGAGCCGAAGTTCGAACCCCTCAGTGTATGAGCTTGCATTCAAATTCATTGAAGTTGAGTACGGTCTCAAGGTAGGTAATACCTTGAGAGCGTAAAAGTAAAAAATATTAACAGTATTCATATTACTATCAGATTAAAGTCGTATACGTCAGGCGGGAGTTGGCCTTCAGCCGCTCCATAAGTCCTTCCGCTGGTGCAGTGTCATCTGCACTCGCCCGTCAAGCTGTAAAGGCCAGCTGCGTTGTTGGCCGCATTAGAGTGTGCCATAAAAAAGCTCAAACAGTTATTTTTAAATTATTATTATTGTAACAATTTACAATCAAATCCAAAGTATAATTTGTATAACATATATTTGGCCTTGGAAATTGTTACAATAACTGCCTTAAGTCAGTCGGCAATGTGCACGTGGCACCCCTGGTGTTTCAGGGGTTCATAGACCATAGTAACTGTCTATCATCAGATAGGCCGAGAATGCTTGTTTGCTACCACTGTGGTATTAAAAAAATATGAACAGCGCCATGGACTTCGCTAACAAATGATGAGTAACCATTCCAAAGGAGTAAGGTCATACTTCCTTATAAACCAAAACTGTTAGTCTCAGAAATAGATGAAACAGGTACCTTACTTACGCCAACGAGTCTTCCTCTTATTTGTCACATCCATACGTAGAAATGCGTAAACATATTTATCTGATTGTTAACTTCTACAACTAAACGTCTTAACGGATATTAATGTGAAATTTGACACGAAGGCATAGGAGAATGCATACATAAAGGCTACCTTTATATAAAAAAATATCCGGAAGGGAACGAAATAGAAAATTAAAGTTTGTGCACACGTATTCAGGAGTAATTCTAATCCATAATACAGCCAGTAAATACATTCACAATTGAATCATAACAATATTTGTTTATATTGATTATATAAAAATTATAGGGCGATGACTTACTATGACGGAAGCAAGCCGAAAGATTACGCGGTTCGCCCGGGTTCCTATACTGTATTTATTTCCCAGACATCTAAACCACTGTCCACAATAAATTGAGCTCCTACTGGGTTCAACCGCAATGTTTAACATTCTACATGATTTAATTTGGTGAGTTCTAGTTATAACGGTTTGTGTTCGTGCCCAGCGAAAGTATAAATAGCAAAAGGCCGGTACGCGTACGCGAACGTTCCCCATTCTAAATTCAAGTCCGGCGCCCGAGCAGCCCGGACAGATTTGAAAATCGAACTCGATTTTCAAATTCCGAATCCCCGATTCCGACTGGAAAGGCCTCCATTTTGAAAGTGATTTTTTAAAGTGTTTTCACTCGTTTGGAATCTGAACGTAGATTTAGTGATTCCACTGTGATTAGTGAAAATGTGTGAACAGTGTGTTCAGCGTTAGAAGAGGATGTTTATGCGATATTAATCGCGTGTGGTAAGTATATTTATCTTAATTATCTAATTATAATAGCTCTAATTACAAAATAAAGTCTGTAAGCAAAGTTTTATTTCAACAACTTTTTAAAGTCTTGAATATTCTAAATGATTCTAATATGTACAGCAATTAGTCACCTGAAAGTTATATAACCTATTGAGAATTAATTCCCGTCAGTTATCAAGGTAACGGTATAAATGGCGAAGTGCCGATTTTTAGCATATAATTAATATTAGTAGTAGATATAACAAATTAAATGTACATTAACACTATACATATATCTTAATAATATTATAAAGTTTGTAAGTATGGTTTACTACTCTATATATTTGTTACTTTTTCACGGAAAAACTACTGGACGGATTTTGATGAAACTTTACAGTAATAGAGCTTATACAGCAAAATATCACATAGGCTATAATTTGCGAGCGAAGCTGCACAACACGGTACAGCTATTCCGTAGTATATTTTTTCTAGATATGCGCTCTGCAATAGGTTACTACTAATACCCTGCGCCGGTTTTACTCGGGTGCTCATAGTTTTGTCTATTTTGACATATTTCAAAC